TCGATACTACGAGCGACACAAGACGTGCAAAGGGAACTAAACGCAGACTGTAACCTGCGTGACCTGAAAATCATATATAATGTGATGACAACAGCCTCTAGGAGCAGCGAGCAAGACAAAGTGGAGTTGCCTGGCTGGGGACCAGAAGACTGGGTCAAACCTGGTAGCTGTCTGGCAGAAGTCTGCGGACTGGAAAGTCACGTTTGTGGAAGTCTGGATTGCGTGAAAACCCTAGAGAGACAACACAAGCAGTTGACGATATTGTTTAGGCACATCATGATGAAAACAAGAACAGAAACGGAACTGATCGCAGATTGCCATGGAGGAACCGAGGTGAATCTAGAGACTGCACCAGGATTCTACAGCATGTTTGGTTCTTTAGAGTCACAATTGAATCTGAAACAGGACCATGAGGTGGTCACAGCCATCAGTGTAGAAGTGTTCCCAGGAGAGTTACAAACTGAGCAAAAGTACATAGGAAAAAGGAGGGAAGCGATCGAGACGGAAATGAACATCCGACACAGTGAAATTAATCGTAGACTATCAGGAGCACGATATTTGGTGGGGTCGACATTAGCTCCAATGTGCAAGAGCAGATACCCGGTGCATTTTGTAGCTGTGGATGTAAAGAGTACGAGAACGATCGTGGATCAAGCCTTCTCAGTGCCAACGTGTGTGAGACTAGCGAGAATGTCGGAAAAATCTTATGAGTTACTGTGTAAGATATTCTCAGCAGTTCCAGAGAGAACAAAAGAGTTGGAATCAATACTGGGGAAGAAGTTCATGGGATACGTGAGTGCGAACTTCAGTGACTTTGAGAGACAGAAACAGAGAGGATCAACCGTTACAGATTACAATACAGTAGACGAGAATGATGAAGTCCACCGAGTAATGATGAAAGCGGAACCATTAATGGAAGCTTCGGGAAAGCGTAATTGGAGGAGCATCATATTGACACATGATGGGTTTCCCTGCCATTGCTTGCTACAAACATGGTGGTATCCCGAGCGTAGTAATCTGGTGTTGATCAGGGACTCTGGAGAGCTGCTCTCCATGGGTTTATCAGACTCATCACGGCCCATAACAATAGTGATAGTCGGAGTTATGATGGCGATACGATGGCTGGAAGCTCATGTGAGGGAGAACAATAGACAGGAGGCACCAACGAGAGAACAATTGCAGAAATTGGATTGTCTAAAAGATTTACATCTTTTTGAAACAATGTGCAAAATTCTGAACATTTCGATGGAAGTGAAAACAAATATGGGCAAGGAGACGACTGATGCCATGGTTTAGAGCCAATATGACTGCATGGTTGTACGAATATGCCAAGAAGCATATGTCGAAGCACGGCAGAGTGTACAGTGGGTATCAGCTAGACATTGGGGCAGGAGAAACGTGACGTTGTGTCTCCACAACAGCTTCAGCCGGAACAGAGAATCTAACGTGGATCCCCTACCTTGTTGTAAACAGAGGGTAGAAAACCAGAAGTGGTGGAGGACTGCTTCCAACAGCGTCAGAATAGCTAACGATGTGTTGCAAGACACAGAAACGGAAGGTGCAGAGTCAATGTCACAGGAGGAGGAGATGGAGCATTGACAAATGGCCGAAAAACAAGACGCAAAAACAGACCAAATTAGAAGAATTTAGAAATTTTAGAACTTCTAAACGACGGAAACAGAAGAAACAAAGCGGTGACAAAAGAGAAGAAGTTAAAACTCGGAATTGTTTTATGTGTGTGATGAAAACTCAAGTGAGAAACTAAGCAACCAAGTTCTAATTGAAACCGAAACATTTAGTTGAGTTTTGAACATTAAAGAATTCGTTGCATTTATAAAATTGCATTTTGATTATAGTTAGTGGCTTTAGAGACACTTACTGTTTATTTAGAAAGGCTTGAGTAAAGAGTATATTTAAACACTCCAGCCTGCATGACTGTTTTTAATCAACTAGGAGAACTGATCACTTTGTGGTGACATGAAAGGCTTGGGTAATCTCTCGAAGAGGGAGATTGTTTCATTGTTCTTTCTAACCACAGAGTTCCTTAATTTTAATATTCAGGACAATAACAACTAAAATTTCCGAAGGGAAGAAGCATACTAGGATAATTTTAGCTTGTTGGTTGGCAGGACTGTCCTGCAAACTAACACCTTTTAAAACCTAGGAGAAAAAGTTTTAATTCAAATCAATGACGTTGGAAGTCAGAAAAAATGTTTTATCTTAAGTCATATCCTCAGAATGCAGATTAGTGAAAAATTTAGAGGGCTATAGCGATGTAGTATGATGCCATTTATATTCTGCAATGAGTCGATATGACGTGGATAAAAGTTATTTTTTGCATTTTGTAAATTCTGTTCGATGACACTGTACCAATTTTACGAACCTTGCGAGACTCAATGGGGACATTGACCGGGCTGTCCGAGGAGTATGTGACATTCGACCAGAATGGACAAAAATGCAGATGCAGCAGTTTCGAGTTTTTAGCAGCGAATCTTCCGAATTGGCGGTTTTGAAGGAATAAGAGCGTTATTCGAGCGATTAGACAAATTGTGAAGGCTGAAGGTTTCAGAAATTCCTAAATTTTAAAAATTCGAATTGATGACGTTATAAATCTAAGAAACGTCAAAAACAGCCATTTTTGAGAAAAACCGAAATGTAGACAGAACAACAATAGTTGCGATAGTGATAACTACGAGGATTGCGATAGAAAAACAACAACGAATTGCAGAGTTAGCAGAGACCGTTCCTAGTTGCAACGATTGTGTCGCTACAATCGTTGCAAGGCCGTTCACAACAACGATGAAGGGTGGAAGAACAGCCTTCCGGAAGGAAGATAAGGTTGTTATTTCCCCGGATTCAAGAATCCGGAGGGGTCTGGGGACTGGAACTTATATCATTTCATACAGACATTTAGCTTCCCTATTATGTCCTGAATTCAATTGATGTAACATCTGAATTCATTTTACGAAGATGAGAAGCTAGGAGTTGGGGGAAAGGGTTGATCCATCTTCGATGGAGATGATGATTTTTATCTACTGAACAAAAACAATAGTAGTATAATAAGTAGTAGTAGCCCTGTTTTTAGGAGTGACCTCGTGGTCTGGGGATACTGAGACCCAGCCATGAGCTCACTAATTTTGCATGTAAACAAGTTAATTTGAGCGTTCTGGTCGAAGCCGGAGAACAGTAACGTTTTTGTCGACCCGATGTTGAAAAGACCACCAAAAGAACTGGCTTTGGTAGAGACGGTGAAAAGCATGTAGAGCTCTGCTTAGACGTTGGCCAGTCTTCTTAGAACCTAGCTTTGTTTTCCGTCGATATGTACTTCCGGGCGAATGTTACAAAAGTCGTTTGGCTGATGGCCTAAAAATGGTAACTTATTACTTGGCCCTTAACAGTCCAGAAAAAACACATGGCTAGGTCAAGACGGTTAAAAACTAGTAGAATTAAATTAACTGACATCAGCCAGTCGTCAATATGTATTTTTTCTACGATCCGTAACTGTGTAATGTCTGGGAGAATGTTTCAATCGAATCGCAAAACTGCATATGAACTGTCAAAAAGCAATGCAAACTGGTGATTGGTTTTTTTTCGGTGATTTTCGTTTTTGCCTAATTTTAAGAGCACAATTAATTTTTTGTCGCAGTTAAACCTTTTACAAAAAAGCAATTGCGAAACTTCAAAGAAATATTTCTATTTAGTTTAAGTTTGTAGGTCAAAATTTTTTCAGAAGCTCAAAACGTTCTATAAATTTGATAAAAGCTTTCAACTTCTCTCAAATTTATAAAAGTTGAATGGTTTTTTGCCTGAGTGAAATGATGAATGACTAATGTTTTAGGTTCGATTGCCATGATAGTAAAATTTAAAGGCAAATTGTTTGAATGATTTCGAGTGATTAGTTTCATTTTAGTTTAAATTAGTTCAGTTTAATTCTGACTATTAGGCGATAGTGATCATCAATTATTGCCAGCCTATTATAACATTGAGTATTATAACCACCAAATAGATATTAATACAAGAAACAAAAAATTATTTTTCGGCGACAGATACAATGGGCAATACATAGAAAATTATTGTCCATTATAGAAAATTCCTTCTTTAAAAAGTCCGTCATAATCTGGAACAAACTAACAGATGATAAAGTCAACTTTACAGACATAGTAACATACAGAAAAACAAAGATAAAATTCAAGATTTATTATCTATTATTATTTAAAGTAGACCCCTCTGTGGCAACTCATGATAAAGTTTCATGGAAAAGCTTCAAGTTTATATAATGACATTGATATATAAACCACCTTGAAGCTCTCAGGTGAAAAGTAATCATCGATAATTGTAATAGATTTTGTTTTGTTTATTGTTATTGTAACTATGTGTATCTAATGATATTATAATATTTTTATGAACTGATAGAAAAAAAAACAGAAAACGGTACTACTATGATAGAGTGGTCCCTCGAAAAAGCAACTATGATAGACAGGTCCCGCATGCATTTCGCATGTTATAATTTTGAAAACTAATTTGTGCATAAATTATTCATTTCAAAAATCTTGCAAAATATGTTCAGCCAAAAACTTTTCAGACTGAAAATTGTAATCACTGTTGTTTTTATATTGAAATTTGCTCGCTTTACTTTATTTTACGGTTTAACAACCATATAATTGGGTTGACTTATTCGTCATCAAAACCCACTATCGGCGTTTTTTTTTTAAATTTTCAACATTAAAATGGCGAGGGGGAGGTTTTAAGAGGTAACAAAACATGAAATTTGTTTGAAAATATACTGCGACATCTTTCTGAAAGGCGTAATCATAATTATTAAACGATTTGAGAGCTCTAGGTGTCGTATTCTCAAGGGACCTGTTTATTTTCAAGGGACCACTCTATCATAGTAGTACCCAGAAAACATTTGACATACACTTGTGTATTGAAATTAATTTCGATGTGCAATTAAAGTAGTGCCACTTCTTTTGATCAGCTCATTGTGTATTTCTTTTCATATAGTTTCAGAATTTCAATAATGGGAGAACCAGTTGCTACAAGTGTTAGGGAACCTGAAGTGGTCTCAGTTTATGTCAATTCTGGTCGAAATCTGGTTTGTATAAAAATTTTAGATATTTGTCGTTGATTGTAGCTTAGCATTGAGATACGAATACGAAATTATGATTCTTTTTTCAGCGGGGCTCAAGAGGCGAAGTTTTAACAGCTGCTGTGAAAGCTGAATTTAATGGTGTCACACTGGGAGAATCAGCGCGAGTAGAGTGCGGAGAAAGCGATGCCGTTGATTTCGATTTCTCAGCTACGTACAATTGCAATTTCGAGGATGCAAATTTATTGGACGAGCTGGCCTATAAGCCAATTATCGGTTAGTATCTTATTAATCCTAACAGTTGTGACCTTAGCGTTCTCATCTGCTGATTGATTTTAGTCACATTGATCGAAATCCTCCCGAAAGAAAAAAAGCAACGAGAAGAAAAAACAATGATATTGGGTCAAGCAAGTGTTGACATCATGCCATTACTCATCCGTAAGTGTTCTTTGTCCTAACTACTTGAATTGCATTGTCCTAGCCACTTGAAGATTGTACTAGCTGTGCAAGTGCATTTTTTCAGAGGGCGTTACTTCTCATCGACAGACTGTACAAGTACATGCATCGCCGGGATCAGCTATCGAAAACTTGAGTCCCGAAATTCCAAAGGTAGCCAGAACAATGCCTAGATGCTGCGTTGGAAATCACCAGCTTTGACTTTACTATGAGTAATACCTTCTGCTGTTTTAGTTGGAATTGGATGTAACATTAAGCGTGACCCAGCCGCTAGTAACGGAAGCTGAGAGTAACGTAATGGCCATAACAGTTGAGAACCTTTATTCTCCACCCGATTCGTGGAATCCGGCTCACCAACAGTACACGTATTCAATTACTACGCCTATTCCGTACGCTGGAGTTGGAGCTACAGCGGATGAAGTGGTTAGTATTCTTTTGGATGCAAATTATTCGCCAATTAAAAGTTATAACAAATTTATCGGACAACGTTTATCGGACAAAATTTATCGGAGTTTTGAACTATTTCAAGCCATTTTCCGGCCAAAGTCTTGCCATATGTTTTTTTTCATGCCTTCTGTTTTTGGTTCCCTTTTGATCTTACAAAACTGCGTGGCAGGCTTTTGGTGAAAAATGGCCGTGAAGTTAGTAAAACTAACATGGAATTTCATGAAAAAACACAAGTGTTTGGGGACTTGAATCTTTTTGTCTTTTACAAAATCAGTTTTTTTTTCGGCTCACCTGGTGTCTGCTCTAAGATTGTCGGCCTTGTTTCCGCATCGTAAGTTTTGTTCATTTGCTAATTACCCCTGCGATGAGCTAGGATATTGCAATCGGGTACTAGAATTCTTTCCGTAAACAACTTTGTTTGCAAGACTCATCTTGACGCATCTCTAGGTACCTTGTTTCATAATCGATTCAATTTTTTTAAAGAGTTTTCGGCCATTTCAGCCTGGAGGTAACGAATATGCCTGGGAAGCCAAAGATACTGGGTTCGAATCAGGACCTGTTTTTTTTTTCAAACTGGAATTATTCTGTCTCAATGTAATTGTCGGCCTATTATTTGTCTGCTTATCCGTTGGCTTAGTAGTAACATCTTGGAATAGTTTTTTTTGCTGCATGCATTTTTCTTTTATGTTGCTATTAGTGTTTGATTTGCTCCTAAAGTTTGTAATTTTACTTACCTTGACTTCACTTCGTATTTCCTTTGGTTTTTTTTAATTTCGCTAAAAAAAATTCCGCGGCCCAAATTGATCCGGCTTTTTTTCATCGGCTGAATGACCTAACTTGGGTCGTTTCAAAGGAAACATAATTTTAGCTTTCGTTTCCGCTCTTTCCAAGTTGGTTTTAAGTTCACCAATCAGTTTGTTGAAATTTCTTTTTTTGTTTTGGAGAATTTCACTTTTTGCAAAAAATTTAGTTTTTCTCAGAAACGTTTACTGGTTTTTAGAAAAGTGGTATCAATTGAAAGACCGCCTAGTCCCCTGTGTGCCTACATACTCTCCTAGAGTCTCTCTTAATTTGACCCCTCGGCTTACAGCATTCGAAAAAGTCTGTGGGGGAATATTTGACCCATATTTTTGATTTTTTTTTTCGTTGTCTCGAAAACTACCTCTCTCAAATCTGAGTTTTTCGTTTCAATCAAAAGAACTAGTTTCTCGAAAACTACCCTGCCACATCAGAGGTTTTGGGTTCAATACAATGGGAAGCTCATTTTTCTATGCAACTACGACCAATTTTGAACGGCTACGCCCAAATTTGAAAAGCGCCCTTCTTTAAACGATTTGAAAAGCGCCCTTCTTTAAACGGCTGCGCCCAAATTTATTAGTGAAACTATGGCCTTCGGAATAGTCAAGTTTTTGATTTTTTTCACCGTTTTTTGAATTTTTTTACTCGAAAACTAGCCTCCCAAACCTGAGGATGTGGGTTCAATGGAGATAAGGAGTAGTGGGAAGCTCCCTTTTTCTTGTGGACACTCAAATTTTTTCCTCGGAAAAGTTATTTTTTTGAGCGTGTTTCTAATTTTTATGAGTTTTACCGAAGTTACCCTCCGATATCTGAGATTTTGGGTTCAATCCAGAGAACGGGTTGTGGGAACTCCTTTGCATACGCAACTACGCCCAATTTTTTTTTGACAGCTTATGATTTTTTTGACCGTTTTTCCGAGCTACCCTGCCAAATTTGGGTTTTTGGGTTCAATCGACGTTGAAAATTGGTTTAATCAATCTACGTTGAAAATTGGTTTAAAAAAATGGTGGTTTTCGGAAATGGCGACCTTCTGATTTGTTGACCGTTTTCTGGAATTTTCTTCAAAACTATCCTGCCAAATCTGTTTAATCGACAAAAGATGTCGTTGGAGGCTTACCTTCATTATTTGCTAGCATCAGTTTCTTTTAGAAAAAAGTTAGTCTTCACACCAGTGAAAGTTTTTTGAAACTTTAACCGTTTTTTGGAAACATTTTGACTACTCGAAAATTACTGTGCCAATTCTGAGGTTAAGTGTTCAATAGCGATACCCGATTTTGGGAATTTTCTCTTCTTTACCGGCCACGACCTGCTTTCAGCAGTTGGAATGTCAATTTTTGACCGTTTTGACCGTCTCATCTGTTTTTCCAACGATAAAATTTTTTGTATTTCCAATCAATTATTTTCAAGTTTTTTTGTGACAACAGTTTCCTTATGGCCTTTGTTTTTTTTATGACATGTTTTGTTTTCGGTCAAACTCGCGTGCGTTGTCGTCTTGTCTGTCACTCAGTTAGTTTTTCTGATTGCTTATTCAACCTTGTCGATTGTGTTTCTCGACATGTTTCCCTCAAATTGAAAATCATGAAAAGACAACCTTATAAAGTTTTTGTAGTTAATTTTTTAAATCGAATTAATGGCTTACGCCTTATGTTCTATCCGCTCTCTAACAATACTATATTTGTGTGTGTCTGAATTTGTGTCTGGTTGTGATTAGTTTTGATTGCCCAAAAAGTTAGGTATGTTTGTATCCCAAGTTGTGCGAAGCACCGCTTCGCCGGTTTAATTTTTTGTAAAGTTATAAATAACTCCATAAACAAAAGTGCTGGACATAAAAGTGTTCAACTCTATGATTCTCCAAGGCTCTAGACTTTGTTTGCACGGAATGAAGTTTGATGACAGAATTTGCGCGTGAAATCTTATTTCCGCTTGCTTCAATATAGTTTCAAACTCTGCGCGTTTTTTTGCGCGAATTTTTTGCGCGTTTGGCGCTGTGCTAAAACCTAGGCTTGAGACGACAAAAGCCTGGAGTTCGAATTCGGTCGGGATCTTTGTATTGTGCAACTTGAAAATTTTCGGCTATTTTAGACGGTCGTAGTTCGACTTAATTTTGTCGGCTTAGATCTCGCAGAACTGATTTTTGCACTAGATCTACTGCACTAGGCAACTTTTTGAAATGCAGGCCGTTTGTTTCGAAGCAAATTTGATGTTTTCACTACAATTCTATGATTTAGCTCTTTACGCTTTATAAAAGCGCATTTTTTGTTGCCTTATATGTAACAATATCTAGCAGAAGTAAACGTGAACGAAGTGGAAAGTAAGTGTCGTAGCAATGTTCAAGCTCGGTTTATTTAATAAAAAAACTAGCCATATATCATAAATTGTTCTTGAAGTTCACAGAGATTTAAGGCCATATATGTTTTTTTATACTCAAACGTTGAAAAAGAAGCTTCTAAAAACTCAATAAAGTGTCAATGAACGTAGTGAAGACAGTATTTCAGATCGTGTTGGTTTTATCGTTTTTTTTTCAAAAGTCTTTCGACTACTTTTCATGTTCAATTCACTTTTATGACCTGAAAGGAAAGCAAATTACGCTCTCCTGGTTTAGTTCTCAAAAATGGATTTTTTTAAACTTTTTTCCAGCGGAATAGAAAAATTATTTATTAGTTAGATTTTCTTTAATTGTTTCAGTTATGTGCAAAATTTGTTAATATACAAAAAGAATTGAATGTCATGTATTTTTTCTTCAAATTTCCTAACTTTGAACTTCTTTTAAAAAATGTAACTTTCCATGTTTCTTTTTGCCGCTTTTGGCTTGTTTCGATTCGATTTCAGGCTTTCTTTGGTCTTGCGATGAACTAGTCTTAATTAACTACATTGTACTTCGCCGTACACAACGAAGATTCGACTATAATATAATAATAATATATTATTTGCAAATTAGATTCCATTCATTGTAAAAGTTACTACATTTACAAACAAACGAAATATCATTGCGAGAACTCCGTGGAACTATGCAGCCCGTTTTCAGGCGCATCTGATCCTGCTATGACTTCTGTTATTTTTTAATATCGATAGTTAATCAAGAAATAAAAAAAAAGATTTAATGATTTAAAGAGGAAAAAAATTTTTGAAGCGAAAAAAGGGGAAAATTTCAGCAGTATACCTACCCTTGAGAGCAAATCTTTTTTTAAAATACTAATTCTACTCAAAAATGAGTTTAAACAGTTGATAATTTCCTTGAATAAAATTGTCCAAAAACTCATGGTTGAAGATTTGTAATTGATATTGTGTGCAGCTCTGCATCTTAGTTACATAATCTGGGTAGTATTTTAGAACAAAGTTGAAAAGTTTTCTAATTCTAACGTTTACAGAATTTTTTTTATTACCCTTTGATTACCCTTTGACTAAAATTGAGTTTTGTATTTTGCAGAAAGACAACATGGTGAGCTTTCCTGCAGGAGTAATCAAAACTGCACATGACAAGGAGCCAATGCCTAGAGCGAAGAAGTGGTTAAACCCTGGTCCAAACACGCTAGGAAATGCCATTTACATTCCCGGCAAGCTAGCCCCGGAGCCAGCAGCTGCTGTTGAGGATTATGAACATGAAGACGGAGAACTAAAGGATAAAACAGTACGCATTTTAACATAGTATAACCATGCGTGAGCGAAAATAGTTGCGTTTTTGAGTTTTTTGTGCTTTTTTTTAGTTTTGAAGGAACATATTCGTCAAATGAAATTGAAACTGACGAATGATACTTTGACTCAGGGGCGGATTTTCAAAAAAACATCGAAAATTTTGATTGACGACCTTTTTTTTTAGGTCGACCAAATAGATTTTTTGAGCTCTCCCAAAGCACTGATTTGCCCCTATTTTGGCAAAATTTTCTGCGCCGCTGGCAAATTTTTGGAAAAACAGTCATAAAAGCCGTTTTTGGGCACTTTTTGAAAAATTTTGACAAAAAAATCGCGTTTTTTTGGCGCGCGCTCCGTCTCAAAGTTAGTATATATTGGCGCCAAAGGCGCCTTTAGAAAAGTTTTAGGGTCGGTCGGCCAAAAATGGATTTCTGAAAAAGTATCAAAAAGGGGACCCTTTGGGTCGGCAGGGGGTCGAATCCCTGAAGGAAGAGCGTCCGCCCCCCCCCCCCTAAATCCGCCCCTGCTTTGACTAAAAATTTTCTGCTTTGAATCATCGGAATCACAGCTCTTACCTGGTTAAAAAATGTTGCATGAGTTGATCAAAATCTTTTTTGTGTTTTGAAACTGGCTAGCTGCTGCTTGTGTCCAATGAGTCATCTGAGGTAAAAATAGATGGCTTAGTTTTTTTCCGTTCAGGAAGCGGAGTGGAGATTGGAGGCGGAGTCTAACAAGAATAAAGTTGTGTGGAATACAGAGAGAAGATGCTTCTTGCAACCAGTCGCTGTATCCAAGTAAGAAAGTTCTAAGCTTACCAAGCTTTTGTCTCTTTGCACAAGCGAAGCTGAATTGATATAAGAACGACATTTTTCCGGATTTCGCCTCAATGTGTATATGTAACTAAGTTATTCAGCAGAATGTGTATATGTAACTAAGTGATAAGAAAGCTAATGTGATTTGTCAAAATAAAGTTTTTTCGTCGCCATCGTAGATGCTATGGGTTTGATTTCCGTGGATAGAATGTTTGTTTTTGCGTTTTATCGACCAACCCCAGGGAAAGGAAGAAACGATGGTCTTTGATTTTTCTTACGCAAAATCAGGCACCACATTTACTCGACGTACAAGTACAAGTGACATGAAGTTAAAGGCCTTACAATCGTGACCTGGTGTCGAAAGTCATGACGCAGTGTTGAAGACATTAGACTAACGCTGAAGACCGGAGGTTCCAATTCCGTGGCTGAATTTTTAGCAAGTTTTTTTAAAAATATTTTTCTTGTATTTGAAAGCTTTCTTTTGTCGTTTTTTGTTTAAAATTGCGAAATGCAGCGTCGACTTTGTGTTTATAGTTTGGATTTTAAACTTTTATGAGAAGTGTAAACTGATTTTTTTTTGCCATATAAAAGTCAGTTGCTATAATCAGTCGTTGCATTACAGAGTGCAGACTCAAATTGCTACATCCCGCTACTGGCCTTTTGAGCTCTGGAGAGTGCAACAGTCGAAGGAACCCAAAACAAAGAAGGTTCGTACACCTAGAATCTGTGTTTGTTTTATAGTTCCGTTTGCTAAACTGAAGCATATACGACCCGCGATTAGTTTTCCGGGTGTTAGAAAAGTGTACCATATTTACAATTTAAGTGAAGATGAATATTTACTGCAAGGCTTTCGAAGGCCGCAATTACCGAATTTCAAATTCATGATTCTCCAGTTTTAGAGCCAGAAATGCCATAAGTAAGTCCTATTTTAAACGAGAAAGCGTCAGAATCGATTTTTTTGTATTCTTACTTTTAACAGTAGTAAACGTAGTGAAAATCTCATATAGGTTTTGGTGATTATTATTAATTGTTTGTTTTTCAGGGAAAAAATCTAAAATTTGGTCACGCTAAAGTTTGATTTTTTGCTGTTTGACTTTTGGTTTCTTTTTAAGTTTACTTCATGTCCTTTGTTGAAAGGAAGGTAAGCTCCACTATCGAACATCGAAATTGTAAAGCTCACGAAAAACGTGAGCGACTTTTAATTTCGAAAGTGGATTTTAATTTTCAGATTTCTCAGCAGGAAAACAATATACCTATTGATCCATTTTGCTCAAACTGGTCTAATTTCATTAAAAAAATGTCATATAAAATTTTTTCTTGAAATTCATAGAGCTTTAAGGCCATGTATTTCTTTCTTTGAAGTTCGAAACATGAAGTTTTTTTTTCAAAAAAAAAAATAGGAAATTATTTTTGTTTTCTTGCGGTCATGACTGTTTTCCAACTTTCAGTTGGCTATGTTTGTCTAGTTCAAATAGCGACCTTTTCGAAATTTTCCCACGTTGTTTCTTGCTTAGAATTTAGCAGACAACCGGACGTGTGTGATGAATAATAGAATAAAAATTTTCGCCAAAAACAGTTTTCCAATGTCAGCCCATGAGTGTTTCAACATAAGTTATTTAGTTTTTTTTATCAGCGCATCTGTTTTTAGCTACCCTCAAGTGTTTTCAAAGGGTTTGATTTTTTTCATTCAAATGCTTTTTTGGATCGTTACTTCGATTACTTGTTCTGACTATTGCTTGCCATTCTCAGGCTTAGCGATCAAATTATTAGAGCGGTTTTGTTGAATTTTTAATTGCACTTGCGAGAACAAGTGACTTGTAATCGTAAACCAGACGTTTTCCGTAAACATCTCTCTTGCAAATCTATGAGAAATTGAGTTTGCTTTATTCTGAACTTAAACAACTTTCAGGATCATTATCCCTTTGGTGTCTTTGCTCCCTAAGGCCTGAACTTAGAATCCACGCCAGACCTTGTTTTCTTCAGTATGTATGAAAATTGAATGGTCTGACTGTCGTTAGTCTGTCATTTTAACTTCCATGCATGAAATTTTGGTTTCGAATTTTAATAGTTTTTACTAGAATTGACAGTCTGTACACAAGCAAAGCTTTTGTGATAGTATGAACTGTTTTTTTTTCAACCTAAGTCTCAATCATTTTGCGTCCGCTGTAAATTGAGGCATGTTAGTTGGCAATTTTTTTCAAATTGACTGTACTGCTAATGCTTCATAATTGGCATGCGTCACTTAGCAATTATGTAGACTGATAATTGGCTTGCGTCGCTTAAGAAATTTTGTAGGCTCAAAGTTTACTCATTCAGTTTCCTCAGTAGCGTTATCGGTCATGTTTTTGCTTGTTTGCGCTTCTGTGTTGTAATATTTGTAAATTTACTAACTCGGATTTTGAGTAAGGTTTTTAATTTTTTTTTGATGAAATGGTTGCGGCGCATGTTTTATCGGTTTTGTCAACCTATTTCGCATATTTTGGAGACCAAAAATAAGTTTTAATAGTTATCAGTTTTTCAGAGGAATGGAAATGTAAAAACCCCAAGTTTAAAATCATAACAGCAATTTTTATGGCTTTATATTGCTTAAACAATTTTGTGGCATTTTTGTTTTCGGAGACCAAAAATAAGTTTTAATAGTTTTCAGTTTTTCAGAGGAATGGAAATGTAAAAACCTCAAGTTTAAAATCATAACAGCAATTTTTATGGCTTTATATTGCTTTAACAATTTTGTGGCATTTTTGTTTTCAAAGGGCGTCTATGCAAATAATTTTGACGGCCTAGTCTCCGCTTGTTGAATGAAAGAGTATTTATTGCTGTTGATTGTGTTTTTCGACTGTTTTTTCTGAAATTGATTTTTCCCCAATTTATTCCAAAACTTTTTTCGGCGTAGTGATTTCCTCTCATTTTTGATTCACTAGCTTGCAATGCTATGCTTGCTACCTCTACTGCGCCTTTGTTTAATCTTTGTTTCTGGCGAAAATTACCCGGACATATCGGGTTCGACAGCTAGATTTCAGCAAAAAAAAAACATTTTTGTTGGTTGTCGACAGCAAAAAAATCATGTTTATTGGTTTCGTCAGTTTCTTTTGTTTTCAAGTGTCAGTGAATATATGGAAGACTTTTGCATTGTTCGCGATAATTTTTTCTCGTTTTTTCCAGGAAAAATTCTAAGATGCTGATTTTGCTCAAACTGGCTTTTGGGTTTTTTAAGTCCAATTTATATGCACTTGCTATTCATATCCATTTGCCCATTATGCAAAGCGAAATGGCGCGAAAAATTGTGAATGTTTGTTAGGTTCAAAAGTGGACTTTAATTTTAAGATTTCTCTATGCAAAAAATATCTATTGATCCAGTTTTCTTAAATTGGGTTAATTTTTTATTATAAAGTGCCAACTATAAAAGATTCTTGAAATTCGAAGAGCTTTAATAGTTGTTATCTCAAGTTTACAAGAGTTGAAAAATGTTTTAAAATAAGACAATAATTTTTTTTCTGTTTCCTCGAGTGCAATGACACGTTTGCAATTGTCGGCTATGTTTTCTACTTTTATCAAATGAGGAGAAATTTCGTCTACTTATAATTTAATGGATGAAAAGTCTAGTCATCTTTCTTTGCTAGGCATCGAAATCATTGAATCGGTCAGCAGGGAGACCGAGCGGAAGCGCCACTCGCGCCAGTAGGGTATGTTTGGTGTGAACATTTTGACTGTGTTTACACAAGCGAAGCGAAGTTTATTCATTTACTGTGTCGAAGTGTGATGAATTTCTCCGAGTTTACATTTTCAATTATCTGGTCTTATCCTTTTTCGCTTTCAGGGAAATCTTGTTTCACGAGTAAGAGCCACTGCTGCGAATATAATGACTAATTCATAAAGGGTCTTCTCTGTTGTACAGCCCGAAGTTAATGATCTCGGTATTTTGAAACTTTGATAGCAATACTTGAATCTAATTAACTTTCTCTCGCGAAGAGTTGAAATATGTTTCGATGCAATTGGATTCAATAATTCACCATTCTTGGACCGTATAACAGAAAAGACCCTAACTTAGTTGGAGCGGATCTCTTTAACTATATCAACCCCCCCTCCTCCCCCCCTCCTCGGCCCTCGGGCACCTAGTAACGAATATCCACCCTCGGGTACATAGTAACTAAACAATATCCCCCTATAATAAATATATCAACGGTTGACCATATGAGAATTTTATACCTAGTAAGGAATCTCCCCACTTTTACAAAAGGGGGTATATATTTAAAGAGATCCGTTGTAGCAAATCATCCCAGTTTCATTCGTATGCCTCTATCATCACGATACCATGAAAAGTTTCCTTTTTTTACCTCAAGCACTCTAACATCACCTTTTTACCCCCCTAACGAATAAAGGACTCGTCTATAAGATGGAGTCAAGTAAAACGAAAGACGACAGAAGTTACAAATTTTGACAACGTTCTCTGTTTGCAAAAAAAAATGTTAAAAACTACGAAATTGTGAAAATTTGTGGTTGAAAATGTAGCTTGTATATCATATTAGTGAAATGGTTAGGAATTTTGTAACGAATATTCTTTTGCAAACAGCTTTTTGTGCTAAATTCTTGTATAGGGGTTAGGTTTAATTGTTAGATGATGTTTAGGAAGACGAAGTCCAGCAATCTTTCCATGGCATTGTTTATGTCAACACTGCCAAATTGCTCTACCCAGGAAGTATGTCCTTTTTTTCATCCTTTTTCAAAATTTTTTGTTGTCCATGACTCACAAATTTGTTGATGTTTTAGTCAAGAAAATCAGAGGCGCGTTCAAGGTTCACCCGTACAACGAAGCCGAGTATTTTGAAAAGGTTAAACCAAAAAACGTTCATTTTGCTGATGAAATGTAATTCAGTGAAGCTTTTTTCAATCAGCGGTTTTTATATGTTCAGCAGTGAATAAATATACTAAGTGAAAATCATCCGGGATGGGATTTGTGATCCGGTAAAATTCCCCCCCCCCCCCCCAACCAAATAGACCAAGTTGAGATCCTCCACCCCAGCGTTCAAATTAAATTTGCGTGTAAAATACTCCATGTAGATTAGCTGAAAAATCGAGCTCAGAACCAAGTTAACATCCTTCCCAGAACCAAGTTATCAGGCTTTTTTTGGGGGGGGGGGGTGTTATCTTGGCCCAGGGTTTGAAATACTTGTTGAATTTCTAGACTAAAAGGGCGTCTAGACTGGAAGCTAGACCGGGAAGTGGCAGGCAGTCGCCGGGAAACGCTGGCGCTGCGGAGGGTGGCAAACGGGACGCTATGGCCGGAGGAGCGAAAGGAGATAAGCCGACAACTGGAACCAAGGACGGCCCCAATCCTCCCGGAACTCAGGAGAAACAGAAGAAAGAAGGGACCAAATCGAAGGTTTGTAATCGGTTGACAAGTCACAAAAAGGGATTGGCACAGATTTCGACCTACTACAGATTTCGTCCTATTTATTTAATTAACAGATTTGTTTCCATACAGATTTCGTCCCATATCCAACATCCTATCATCCCATATCCAAGTTTGAGGGACGAAATCTGTGTCCGCTTTGAAATGGGACGAAATCTGTTGAAATTAAAATGGGACGAGATTTGTCATGGGACGAAATCTGTCACAGCCAAGAAAAGGAAAGGCTAAATTTTACCATTTAAATTACCATTCAAATAAATAAATGTAGTGGCTAGTAATTAAATGTAATACGTAGGTGCTGGGTTTATTTGAGTTGAATTTGATGCTTCTATAGGTTGTCGAAATCCAGGTAAATCTTGGCAATCTAAGGCTAACTTAATTGATGTCTCTGATTAGTTAGATTTTTATAGTTTCAGTAAAATTTTTCCACATTTTGACAGCTGTCTAGTTTTAGTCTCTTAAATTATTTATGGTTTACATGAGCTGAAGAAATGATGACAAACTGGAACTCGATTGGTGAACATCACATAAATCATATAAAGAACGAATTGTTTAAATAAAGGCCAGTTGCCAAACAATAAAACATTATAGGTGTCATTCGCAGGAATTTTCTGACGATGAGACTTTTTTTGATGAAAATATATTGAACCTTTTTTAGGCGAGACATTCCATTTTTGAAAATTATTCCAAAACAAATGTTTGAGAAAATGTATCAAAAATGCGTTATTCTGTTTTTAAGCATTGTGTTTGGGGAGATTTCTTCAAAAAAAATTTAAAAAGTTAATTTAAAATTTTTTTTTCGATTTTATAAAAAAAAAAAAAACTTTTGCAATTTTGAGTTTTGTTCTTTAATCAGTTTAGTTGGAACATTTTGTGCTGATTGCACAGAATCAGCCTATTCTTGCTAGGTATTTTTGCAACAATCCTCGAAATTTATAAGAAAAAGCACGCTTCTGAGGGCCATTAACAAATAAACTGGCAAACACAAGTTGTTGAGAAGCTAGTTGAAGTTGTACCGTTATGATGAGCGTTGTGTTAAGTTTCGTTTTGTTGCTTACCAGCAAAGGGCGGATAAGCAATCGAACGAGAGGTTGGCTAACACCGACCGAACCAGTGGAGCCCAATTGGCTCACGGCCACCATGCCCAACAACAGGCATCCCAGGTTCCAGTAGAGCACCCGAATCATTTTATTCAATCATTGAAAACATTGTTTGAACTCTCAAAGCATAGCGCAAGCTCATTAATGGTTACTTTTTGTACCACTTAGTGTTGAAGATTGTAGCCTAGCACCAGCAATCACCAATGACTAACAGTTATCACAATATTGATAGATACACAAGTTTATAAAAACCAAGTCATCGCTCTAATCATATGGAAAAATTGTGTTAAACAACGCTCATATCGTAAATAGCTTAAATCACGTACTTTTAATGTTAGTTTAGATGTTTATTATCTTCTATACATTTTGACAGTTTCTTTGAAAATATGAAAATTTATTTTCACAGGGTGCAAAAGACGAGGACCATGATGGAGTTGATCTCGAGGCTCAGGTGAGGTCAAAAAATTATGATTCTGAAATCAGTTCTGTTAAGTTAAAAAGTCAGAGTAACTAATTTCAAAGTGAGCAGCAATTAATAGGTCGCCATGCTGATTTTGTTTTAGCAATATCAAGAAGCAGGATCTTATGTTGTGGTTGAAATTGAGCTTGTCAAGCCTCTTGTGCCTAAGAAAGACCCGAACTTCTTGGTTCAAAGGTAAGTCATAGTTTTTAAATATAAAGTTAAATAAAATCATTTTCAAAAGGAAAGCATTTTATTAACAAGGATAGCAAGTAGCTCATTGTTCTGACCATATTTTTTTATGAAATTACACTGAAATTAGTTTTCCTTTTTTTTTCATTTTAGTGTAGTTTTTTTTGTGCGTCGTGTGATAGAAGTATCTGAACAAAAGCCTAGAACTTATCTGAACAAAAGCATATTTAATAGTCATAAAAAAAATTTGACAACTGTTTTTGTCGAAAAATGACTAGAAAAACAGTGGCGTGCGCCGAAATTTTTCAAGGGGGCGGTTTTTTTTTAAAAAAAATTGTGGTTATTCTACAAACAGGTCAAAGGGGTGCGCGCTCCCCCATCAAAAATATTTCGTGGGCTCCCCCCTCAAAGTTAGTTATATTGGCGCCCCAGGAGCCTTTAGAAAAATTTTAAGGTTGTTCAGACTAAAATGGATGTCGTGAAGTTATACCAAAGGAAATGACCCTTTATTACCCTTGCGAAGCTAGTGTTTTAGTACGAACCTTCTTTTTTTCCATTCTAAGTCGCCATTTTAGGACAGCTTTTTGATAGCATGTGCTTTGATATTCGAATAGTGATAAATTAACACATGTTGATGCATTTTTAATTCATCAAACGAACCGAAAAAAAAAGCTATGTTTCAAATAACATCACAATAATAAAAACTCGATTTCAGAAATTTTCTAACTCAATACATCTCGCAGTTTTTGGAAATGCATAATTTATCCATAATGTGGCTTTATGCTTTGCGATTTGTTGCATGCGAAGTTAGTGTGGATGACTTCAGTTTGTTATATTCCAAGTTATTACTTGTAAAATTGCGTCTATTTGTATTTTGTGCAACTTTGCTCATCGAATTGGCAATTTATTAGCATATGTAGCTGCGTTATTGGTGGCTAGTTTTGGGATTTTAAGCAGCCGTGAGTGGGTGGTTAATGCGTGAGACTCAGATTTGCTAGGTCGTAGATTCGAATCCGACACATCGCCGAATTTTTGCCAATTCGAGGCTTATTTCTAATTTCTGATTTTACTTGTTAGAGCTGATATTTGGTCGCGTTCTCGCAAGTGTTTGCGAAGCACAGCTTCACCTCTGTGTCTCAAATTGGGTTAATTTTTTCAAAAAAGTGTCAATATTTTGATGATCTAAGATTTTCTGTATTTTCGTATACTTTTCAGGAAAAACTTCTAATTTTTTTTCTAGGATTCCAGGACTTCAATTTTAAGTACTTTTTCCATGTAACTTTCAGTTAAACTTTAGCTCGTGTGATCTCAATAAAAAAATTTTCAATCATATTTAAAAAGTTTTGAGACATTCTGGTTGACGTTTTCGCCGGCCATGGAGAATCAATCAACTCTTCGGAGGAACTTTGGCTGAAAAGCAAAACTTTTGACCAAGTTTCTCATAAACCGAGAGAGCTGTATTGAATATTTTGATATTTATGTATATTTAATCACGCCTGAAAATGCTTCAGCTTGATACATGACTTATTGACTTGTCTTTGTGTTACCTAATTTGAATGCTCACTTGCATACTAGTTCCCTCCAACAACTTAATCAGAACAATTTTTGTGTATTTTAGTGTTGCTCAATACATACCGCCCAGGCCGCGATTTCCTTTGAGGACTAATGGAGCCGACAAGGTATTTGATTCAATCAGTTTGACATTGAGATTTAAATTATTATTCCCGGATGATGCCTCTTCTTTGATATAATTAACTTTGTTAGTATTAAACTCACTAATTAATTCGGACGGGAACTGAAAATATATTTGGTCGCTTCTATTTCAAATCTTAATGATGGAAAAGTTTAGATGTTATTCAAGTTATGTAGTGTTGATTGACACAAGACAATTGGACTGAATTAAGTAGCTTTCCTTTTTGTTCTCAAACTTCAATCTGTAAAAAAATCAAAATGTCATGACATGACTTGATAAACGTCATGTTGTGAGGAAACTGTTGTCTGGAGGAACATTTTCATTTCTGTTTTCACGTGTCGAGAATGAGAAATTAGGTCCGTTTAAAAAATGTACCGTTAATTAGGAAGTATTGAAAATTCAAGCTTTGCCAGTTTTGATGTCTTCGAAATAAACCCAGTGAATATCAGTAGGCGCGGATCAATCTAGGAATTTCTCGAGGGGGGGGGGGGGATTTTCAAAAACCTTTTTTTGGTCGACTAAATTGATTTTCTGAGCTCTCCCAAACCACTATAAAGACACTAATTTGACGCCCCCCCCCCCCTCCTAAATCCGCTACTGAATATCAGTATATTCGATCTGACACTGTGGCTTGTGGATTTAGGCGGTGGATGATTTCCACTCGCAAGTGGTGAATGTGGTCAACTTAATTCTGGAGCAGTACAGTGAACTGTTCGCCGAGGAGATTAGCAATGGCAGGAGAGAACAGACTGCTGAAGGCATGAAGAAAAGGTTAGATGCCGAAATTTTGAGTCTAATTTACAATCCCCCTTCACCTTTAGAATTGTTCTGATAATGAACTTACATTACAGAATATCATAAACGTCTTAAATCGTAGACCCTGTTAATTTATTTCATATCTTTGTCAGCGTGTCATTTAAAGTAATGACTGTTTCATTGTAGAGAAGAAGCGCGTGACCCGTTATTAACTGCACCAAACATTTCGGATCTATTTAACAAATTCCTTCTTGGATAGCCAATATTAGATAGCCCGTCCTTGTTCTAGCCATATTAGCCAAATTTCAATTTCACCGAGTTGTTTTGATTAAACATTCGCAGCGTAGTGTAATTTCACGATTTCTAGATGTTTTTTAAGCCAAGTCGCAAATGAAAGTGCTCATTTGGCGGGACTTTGAGGCATTATCGTTACATATCTGGTTATCTTTTGCTGCATTAGCATTATATCTTTATCTGATTTATTGGTGGCTAGTGTTTGTAGATTGTCAAGCGTGAGATTTTTAATCTACCTTTTCTTTCTTCATTAAGAGTCAAGGAACGTAGTAAAAACTCTTACATAGGTCTTGGTGATTTTTTCAGGAAACAGTCGTATAATTTGTTCGCGCTCAAATTTGATTTATCGTGGTTTTCGGAAAATTTTTCGGAAAACAAGGCACTGTTTTCTTGTTTCGTTTCCTTGCGTTCTTTGACTCTTTTCCGACTGTCTATGTTTTCTTTGTTTTTTAGAGCTACTGTTTTCTCGTTTCTGTATGCAAAGTAAAGCTTCGCTTATGTCTGCGGTGTTATTGTCAGTCGTATTCGTGGACCCAGTGGCATAGCATTGGCAATTTAATAGCTTGTGTTTATCTGCATTATTAGTCGCATGTGTTTTGATAAATCCAAGAGAACATGGCGCAGATGCGAGGATATTATACTCCTAGTTTCCAGATAGTGGGTTCGATTCCGGTATTTGTCGAAAGTTCGTTTTGAAGGCTTATTTTTTTCCTTATTTTATTTTTAGAGGTATTTTTTGCTGTTTTCTGGCTTGCTTGCAACCTCCAGCTTCACTTCTCTGTATGATTACAAAGTTATTTTATGATATTGAGACCTTTTATCCACGAAGGAAAGGACCAACATACGAGCTGTACAGCTCATCGCGGCGAACCACTGTTGTGCCCCTGTTTGAGAACATGTAATTTTGTTGGTTATTTTTCTGAGCTGGGTAATGTTGCCTCACCCTCAAGCAACGAGCATATTAAAAACATCTCTAACTTAACTTGGGCAAATTATGATTGGACAAAGACGTGCTAACTAAATATGGTTATCCAAAAGATGGGAGATTGTTAAGCAGATCCGAAAGGCTTATAACTTTTGTATAGTTGTTAACAGCTCACGGTCCTTTCCTGGTTAACAAATGAAGCAGTCACCTGTTTGTGTTACACACTTGCGAAGCTGTAAATATTTAAAATTTGACAAAAATTTAGATTTTGAAGGTTCTGTTTTTTAGGCTTTTTAAGATAGAATCGTGCATATTAATTCCGGATATCAAAAATTATTTATCTATTTTTGCGGACCGAATACAGGAGCTAATGCTCAGTTTTAAATTCAGGTATCAAACGCTTATTTACGAGCTGAACACTTCTGGGAAGTATTTTGCATTCCGAGAGCAACTCAAATACTCTGTGATCAAGATTGTGCGAGAGAAGTATTTGAGAACCACCAACTTTGACTCACAAGCTGAACTGCAGGCAAGTGTTACGTCTTCTTGTAACTATCTTCCTAGCCAATGCCCCCATCTATGACACGTGGTAACAGTGTTTTTTCATGTTATACGATATACAACAAATTATATGAAAAATCAAGATAATACAGTTTTACGACAAAGCAGATTTATACGATAAATTATGCGATTATACGAAATCGATAATTGGCGACTCTTTTTTGTGGGACAAGGTGTATAAGCTATAGTTGTTGTATCTGAAAAGAAGAACGAAGAAGCGAGTCGCTCGAAGGCTGTACGGGGCAGCCCCCTCCCCCAGGTTGGCCATGCAGTGTGTAGGGCTTCGGGCTAATAAAAAAAGAATTTTTAAAACTATTATTTGAAAAGAATCTGTAGGGACCCTCGAGACTTTATTTCAACTCTAACAGCGTTTTTGGTATATCAACTGGATTTTTGCAGAAGCTGAAGTTATTATTAGTAATTTTAGTTACCGATCGCAAAAAATAACCTGTGGGAAATGTTTTTAGAAGTTCCTGAGTGAGCTGTACGTGTTTCTGATCGATGAGATGCATAAGGGACTGGCCAAAGTGTTGAGTTTGGAGGACCAGACGCCAGTGCCGGAGCCTCTGACAGATGCAGACCAGCTGAAGCACTTTGCGAGAGAGAGCGAGATGAACAGCAACATGCAACTGGCCGACCAGTTCTACCTAGAGGTGAATCAATGAAATCAAGTTTTTCTTGCGACCTCATCACGAAGTGAGCGGGAACTTTCCTTAGAATGTATTTTTTTCCACGCGTTTTAGGAGCCCTCGGGAATGCTCTTTGGAGGTATTCGAGTTTGGAATCATTTGAAGCTTTTTTAACCTTAGGATGAGATTCCAGAACAATGATTCTAAATAGGTCGCCAAATGTCGACAAAATCCTATATTTTGCCTTAAACTAATCCGTAACCGTTTAGTAAAGGAGACTAAGACATGAGCGGTTCAATTCTGAACAAAAGTAATTAAATTCAGATAAATTTTGCTGAAATAAGGGAATAGATTTCAGTTTGATTGACTAGATTAGCGAGTCTGTTTGATTTCAGAGAATTTCTAGGAACAAGAAGGAGCCTTCTTATTGGTTCGACTACGCCTGTTTCAATCTACTCAACGGAGACATCACCAAAGCAGTGGAGTGCACCAAGGAGTGTGTGGCCATTGACCAGAAAAACCTCAAAGGGTTAGACTGTCTTCAAATGATAATCATAAAAAATTATTTCCTGTATAGGTCCACATCAAATTAATTTTTTCCAGGTACGGATCTAAGATTTTTTTCGAGGGGGCGAACTTTCAAAAATTTTTTTTGGCCTTTTAGGCAGACCAAATTGATTTTCCGAGGGCTCCCAGAACAATATAAAGACCCTTTGTTGACAAACAAAAGCGCCGCAGGCTTGTTTTTGAAACAAAAACACGTTAAAAATGCCAAAAAACACGTTTAAAATGCCCCCCCCCCCCCTGATTTTTTCAAATAATCACATCTTAAAAGAACCAAGTCTGGGAAAGCGTCAATAGACAAATTAAACGTAAATAGACTAATTAAACTGTTTACAAACGTCTCCAAGAAAATTTTTTCGTGGCTACTTCTCATTGTAGCTCCCCCCACCCTTAGCAACAAAATTATAGCTTCTTTACGGTAGGTTTCTTGTTTTATGGGAGGCTATTTGCCGAGGGGCTATGATGGCAAAGAGCTAAGAAAGTTTTTTTCCTTTAATTAGAACTCCAGTAGTGTAATTTTTGTTCCATTTGGTCAAATAAGCTGTTGATCAGGCTCAATCAAAAAGTTTCAACTGATAGCGGAAATTTTTGAAACTTTGTTTCTGATTTCTAAACAGTCAAATTGTCCCGAATGGTTGTTTGGAAGATCGAAAATGTCGTCAAAATGGGGTCTTTATAGTGATTTAGGAGAGCTCAGAAAATCAATTTGGTCGACCTAAAAAAAGTCAGCAGAATTTTTGAAAATCCGCCACCCCCCTTGAGAAAATCCTAGATCCGCCCCTGGTCTTAGTAGTGAGTAAGTTTTTAGCCAGCACATGCGCATATTTCTATTCAACTTAATAGATTTGCATGAGCTTGGAAGTTTGTTTTCTGTGTAGATTGTTGCTGTATGGCATTTTGATGTTGGTGGATGAGAAATATGAACCAGCTGAGATCTTTCTGGAGGCGGCTACCAACTTCTATTCAGACTGTGTGGAAGCATGGACTGTGCTGGCACTCTACTATGACGCCATAGGCAACGACATAGGCCACGAAATGGCCATAGAACAAGCAGTCAAGGTAAGCGTCCGAGTGTCCTTTAGAAGAGGCCCCAAAGTTCGGTACAATTTTTAGAGGGGTACCGCAGCACGCTAATTCTAGGTAAGTGTAGCAATAACCTAAGTCAGTAGAAGCCGCTTTATCGTTTCCAAGATTTTTAAAGAGTTGATGAACGTAGTTCAGATTTTTATATAGATCAGAATGATTTTTTTTTTTCAGAAAAAATCTTGTTCAGGAAATCTTGTTTTTAAAATTTTTTTTCGCAGTTTGACTTGCTTACGTCATTTCCTCTGTTGAAAGGAAGGCAAACTCCACTATCGAACAGCCAAATTTTAAAGGTCACGAAAACCATGATCGACGTACGTTTCGAAACGAACCGTTTCGAAAAATGGATTTAAATTTTGAGATTTCTCAGCGGAATAAAAAGTTAATCTGTTAATCCAGTTTTTACACCAGTGAGCTAGCGAGCGTAGTGTAATAGGTATGACTCTCCTTTTTCCGAACCTAACTCGCAACCTAACATGCTTTTTTGGGGCACTTTTATTAATCACAATCTCTAGCATGGAAAATTTCATATCATCTCTTTTCTGCTTTATTTATGGCTAATTTTTGCTGATTGTTTACCACCCGTGGCTGAGAGGGAAGGACGACGTGAGACTCCGAGGTCGCAGGTTCAAATCGGACACTTTGCAAAAGTTTTACTAATTTGATGCTTATGTCTTTCTTTTCTACAGTTGCGGGCGTAGTGTATTAAAATGACTCTTAGTTTTTTTTCAACTTAACTTGCAAAATAAAGTGCTCTTTTAGTGAGGACATTTTCAGAAATCATTTTTGTGAGAATACTTAGCCTTTTTTGTTTACTATCCAAGAGAGCTCTTAACGTTCAAATTTGTGTTTTTTCTTTATGGAATCCGAACCACCCTGAACTTGAACTTTATCTCGTGCAGCAGAGAGTTTGCAGTTCCAGGTTTTTGAATTTTTGTTGATTCAGAATAAAGTATATATTTTTTCATAGGTTATAATTTTACGACATCCATTTTTGGCTGACCAACTTGAAAATTTTCTTAAGGCGCCAGTTTAACTAAATTTGGGGAATGTAATAATTTTGTTTCTGCTAGAGCTGAGACTATCCATTGTTGGTGCTGAATTCATATTTTGTCTGATTTCAATTTTTTATGTGCATATTTTGATTTTCTTTCCAATATTTTGCCAATGCCTTATCGAGGTCTTACATTAGCGAAATTGCTCATTAAAGTTTTAGTATTAAAATTATTCTTTCGTTCTTTTGAAGATTCTAATGGAGATTCGTTTGAACCATCGTGTTAGTCTTTATTATGTCCTTGTACAGGAGCGAGTGATTTAAAAAGGGACAGACGCCCAATCCCCCCTCTCTCCTCTTAGGGATTCGGCCCTCTCACTACAACAAAAGTGTCCCCCTTTTGGTATTATTTTATGGCATCAATTTTAGGCCTACCAACCCTAAAATTTGTCAAAAGACGGCTTCGGCGCCCATACATACTAATTTTGAAGGGAAGTGCGAGCCCCTGTCTTTATTGAATCGCAAGTTAAGCTAAACTCAACTTCGCCTCACTGTAGGAATTTAGATCCAAAGACATGATATTTTAATCGCATGAGAGCAGCAGTCTGTTCAGTGTAATGTTGTTCCGTGCAGGTCAATATGCAGTTGGCAGCTGATGAGCACATGAAGCAGATGGAGATTGAGAGAGCGGAACAAGTGGCACGGGAGATGGCCGAGGCAGCCGCTGCTCATGCAGAATCACCCAACGGTTAGTAGAGATACAAACGCCCTTTTCATCGTTTCAAAACCCGTCATGATCCAACGTTTCAAAACCCGTCATGATCCAACGTTTCAAAAACCGTCATGATCCAACGTTTCAAAACCCGTCGTGATCCAACGTTTCAAAACCCGTCGTGATCCAACGTTTCAAAACCCGTTATGATCCAACGTTTCAAAACCCGTCATGATCCAACGTTTCAAAACCCGTCATGATCCAATGTTTCAAAACCCGTCATGATCCAACGTTTCAAAACCCGTCATGATCCAACGTTTCAAAACCCGTCATGATCCAACGTTTCAAAACCCGTCATGATCCAACGTTTCAAAACCCGTCATGATCCAACGTTTTCATCGTTTCAAAACCCGTCATGATATAACGTTTTCATCGTTTCAAAACCAGTAATGATCCAACGTTTTCATCGTTTCAAAACCCGTCATGATCCAACGTTTTCATCGTTTCAAAACCCGTCATGATCCAACGTTTTCATCGTTTCAAAACCCGTCATGATCCAACGTTTTCATCGTTTCAAAGCCCGTCATGGTCCAACGTTTTCATCGTTTCAAAACCCGTCATGATCCAACGTTTTCATCGTTTCAAAACCCGTCATGATCCAACGTTTTCATCGTTTCAAAAACCCGTCATGATATAACGTTTTCATCGTTTCAAAACCCGTCATGATCCAACGTTTTCATCGTTTCAAAACCCGTCATGATCCAACGTTTTCATCGTTTCAAAACCCGTCATGATCCAACGTTTTCATCGTTTCAAAACCCGTCATGATCCAACGTTTTCATCGTTTAAAAACGCGTCATGATCCAACGTTTTCATCGTTTCAAAACCCGTCATGATCCAACGTTTTGATCGTTTCAAAACCCGTCATGATCCAACGTTTTCATCGTTTCAAAACCCGTCGTTTCAAAACCCATGCCAGAAGAATACGCGAAAAATAATAATAATTCTTAACCAGAGGCACAACGTCGATAATTTAGTTTCTTAAACACCTCTTAATTCCTGTTTGATTTATTGTGCATTGTACTCGCCTATGGGCCGAGAGGGAACCGAAAATGAGCAGAATGGAGACATAATTTACAACGGTGAAACTGGAAATGAACAAACCGGAGAAAGCCAAGAAAATTCCTGTTTGATTTATTAAACAAGTATTATGAAAACGTTTTTTTTTCCAGATGAGATCTGGGTTTTTTTTTTTTTTTTTTTTTTTTTATTTTATTTTTTTTTTGAGACGCTTTTTCGAAAAATTCGCTTTCCCAAAAAACTACCCGTCAGATTCTCATAAAAGTGGTACCAATGGATTCAGTAGCGTTTCACCTACCTGCCTGCATGAAATTTAGGGCAATTTTTACCCTACCCCACCCCCTACGGTCTTCAAAACCCGTCATGATCCAACGTTTTCATCGTTTCAAAACCCGTCATGATATAACGTTTTCATCGTTTCAAAACCAGTAATGATCCAACGTTTTCATCGTTTCAAAACCCGTCATGATCCAACGTTTTCATCGTTTCAAAACCCGTCATGATCCAACGTTTTCATCGTTTCAAAACCCGTCATGATCCAACGTTTTCATCGTTTCAAAGCCCGTCATGGTCCAACGTTTTCATCGTTTCAAAACCCGTCATGATCCAACGTTTTCATCGTTTCAAAACCCGTCATGATCCAACGTTTTCATCGTTTCAAAAACCCGTCATGATATAACGTTTTCATCGTTTCAAAACCCGTCATGATCCAACGTTTTCATCGTTTCAAAACCCGTCATGATCCAACGTTTTCATCGTTTCAAAACCCGTCGTGATCCAACGTTTTCATCGTTTCAAAACCCGTCATGATCCAACGTTTTCATCGTTTAAAAACGCGTCATGATCCAACGTTTTCATCGTTTCAAAACCCGTCATGATCCAACGTTTTGATCGTTTCAAAACCCGTCATGATCCAACGTTTTCATCGTTTCAAAACCCGTCGTTTCAAAACCCATGCCAGAAGAATACGCGAAAAATAATAATAATTCTTAACCAGAGGCACAACGTCGATAATTTAGTTTCTTAAACACCTCTTAATTCCTGTTTGATTTATTGTGCATTGTACTCGCCTATGGGCCGAGAGGGAACCGAAAATGAGCAGAATGGAGACATAATTTACAACGGTGAAACTGGAAATGAACAAACCGGAGAAAGCCAAGAAAATTCCTGTTTGATTTATTAAACAAGTATTATGAAAACGTTTTTTTTTCCAGATGAGATCTGGGTTTTTTTTTTTTTTTTTTTTTTTTTTTTTTTTTTTTTTTTGAGACGCTTTTTCGAAAAATTCGCTTTCCCAAAAAACTACCCGTCAGATTCTCATAAAAGTGGTACCAATGGATTCAGTAGCGTTTCACCTACCTGCCTGCATGAAATTTAGGGCAATTTTTACCCTACCCCACCCCCTACGGTCTTAGAAAAGCTTCACAACTCGGTACTTTTTTCACTTTTTGCCCATTTTTTCGGAAATTTTCGATTTCCTCAAAAACTACCCGTCCAGATTTGGGATTAAGGATTTAATCGATAGACCAGGTTGTAGGAACCCCCCATGCACAAGCGGCTGGTCCCTAATTTGCTTAGGGGAAGAGCTATAGACTTAGGAAAAGTCACTTTTTTGATTTTTTTGCCTATTTTTTCGGAAAGTATCGATTTCCTCAAAAACTACCCATCCAGATTTAGAATTAAGGGTTTAATCGATAGACCAGGTTGTAGGAAACTCCCATGCACAAGCGGCTGGTCCCTAATTTGCTTAGGGGAAGAGCTATAGACTTAGGAAAAGTCACTTTTTTGATTTTTTTGCCTATTTTTTCGGAAATTATCGATTTCCTCAAAAACTACCCATCCAGATTTGGAATTAAGGGTTTAATCGATAGACGAGGTTGTAAGAAACTCCCGCGCACAAGCGGCTGGTCCTTAACTTGCCTAGGGGAAGAGCTATAGACTTAGGAAAAGTCACTTTTTTGGCCTTTTTTCAAATCTTTCCGATTTCCTCAAAAACTACCCGTCCAGATTTGGGATTAAGGATTTAATCGATAGACCAGGTTGTAGGAACCCCCCATGCACAAGCGGCTGGTCCCTAATTTGCTTAGGGGAAGAGCTATAGACTTAGGAAAAGTCACTTTTTTGATTTTTTTGCCTATTTTTTCGGAAAGTATCGATTTCCTCAAAAACTACCCATCCAGATTTAGAATTAAGGGTTTAATCGATAGACCAGGTTGTAGGAAACTCCCATGCACAAGCGGCTGGTCCCTAATTTGCTTAGGGGAAGAGCTGTAGACTTAGGAAAAGTCACTTTTTTGACTTTTTGGCCTTTTTTCAAACTTTTTCGATTTCTTCAAAAACTACCCATCCAGATATGGGATTAAGGGTTTAATCGATAGACCAGGTTGTAGGAAACTCCCCTGCCAAAGCGGCTGGTCCTTAATTTGTCTCGGGGAAGAGCTGTACACTTAGGAAAAGTTTTTTTAGAAGTTTTTTGGCATTGGAACAAAGATTCAATATACTTATTGTGTGTATTTTTTAGACAATGGAATCCGCTATGCTTACGTTTTCTCGCTTTTGCTTGGTGCTATTGGCTTTGTGTTGAGTTTTTTTGTATGGTTCGAAGAAGTCCAACGAGAAGTTGCACGAGTTACGCTAGTTCTCTTTAATCAGGTCGGTTTGTTCCAGAACGTTTTTGTGATGTCAGTTATAGTCAACATATTATAGTCATATTTGCAATGCTTGGACAAAAGCGTTACCAATGAATGCATAAGCTTCTCTTTCACTTTTTTTTGCGTAGGAAGGGCGCTATCGACTTGAGAAACCTGAAATTTTAAAACAATTTTAAAATAATCAATATTAAAATAATCAAACAGGTCTCTCCAGCTTTCAGCTGGGCCCCTAGTTTAGTCCATAATCTCGTGGAAAATCGTTCTAAGGATGTTTGTTTTATTGAGTATTTTTGATTATACAAATACTGATCTAAGCGTCTTGAGCCTATTGGAATTCAAGTAATTCTATAATTAGTAATTAAAAAAGGTACGAGTTTAGATATTTTTGGTGATGTATTTTTTTCCAGTTTCGATAACTGCATGCAAAATTGATTAGAAAATTGAAGTATTTTAAGTTTAAAACAAGTGAAATATCATTTAACTTGTTAAGAGTCGATGTAAGTTAACTCAAATTTACTCCTTCGCGATTTGACTTATGATTTCTTTGCAAGTTCAGCTTATTTTATCTGTTAAAAGAAAGGCAAACTAACTGCACTATCAAACAACAAGTGTAAAGGTCACTAAGAGGTGATCGACTTCTAGTTTCGAAAAAAGAATAATTGAACTTTCAGATTTCCCAGCGGAATCGAACATTTACCTACCTATTAATCCGGTTTTTTCTCAAATTGGGTTAGTTTTCTCAGAAAATGTCAATCATAATTTGTTTAGAAATTCAAAGAGCTTCAATGCCATCTATGTTTTTCAATTTTTGAAAGTTAAACTTTTATCCAAAAAAACAAAGGCTGTATTTTTTTCTGTTTATTTGAGTTCATTGAATTTTTTCGAACTGTCTGCTGGCTATGTTTTTAGCTTTTGATTTTTACGGTTTTCAAATAGGATTTGAAACACTGAATCAACTAATAATACATCCTGATTTTGTTCGTGGTAGATCTGACTACTCCTGATGGCGCGGCAGAAGTGGCCCTCGAGGACCAAAACCAGACAAGTTCGGACGTCCAGAAGTCAGCCTCTGGAGCTGCACAGCCTGACGATGCGGAAGCAGTTGATCTGAATGCCAGTGCGGCGAACAGGTCTACATCTTCGGCACTGAACAACACGGCAGCTGGTGCTTCTAATTCCTCCGCTAATGCGGCGAAGAGGTCGAGCGTGAATAGTGGAGCAAAAGTGACTGCAACCAGTCCAAACCCGACGAGTAAAGATGGAAAGAAGAAAGGAAAGGGTCAGTTGTTTTAAAAACAGCATTGTAATAATTGAGTCGATTCATTTTCTCTACGAAATGAGCAAGGCTTAATAAAGCTTTCCAAACGATTAGAAAGGTTTTATGACTTTTTCCGAATGGATTTTTTTGACTTCTCCGTCTTTTTTTCTTTTTGGCATTTTTGTGTTTGCGAAATGCAGCTTTACCTATGCATGCAGCTTTGCCTGTTTTGAATCATTCCGTACTTGTGATTAGCAAGCATTTGGTATCCGTTTAGTCTTGCAAAGCTGGAAATTTAATTGTTACCAGCGTTCGCGCGTCTTAGTGCATCAATTGAGTTGCATTTATGTGATGATTCAAAATTCCTGTTTGATTTATTAAACAGGTATTATGAAAACGTTTTTTTTTTTCCAGATGAGATCTGGATTTTTTTTTTTTTTTTAATAATTTTTTTTTTTTGAGACGCTTTTTCGAAAAATTCGCTTTCCCAAAAAACTACCCGTCAGATTCTCATAAAAGTGGTACCAATGGATTCAGTAGCGTTTCACCTACCTGCCTGCATGAAATGTAGGGCAATTTTTACCCTACCCCACCCCCTACGGTCTTAGAAAAGCTTCACAACTCGGTACTTTTTTCACTTTTTGCCCATTTTTTCGGAAATTTTCGATTTCCTCAAAAACTACCCGTCCAGATTTGAGATTAAGGGTTTAATCGATAGACCAGGTTGTAGGAAACTCCCATGCACAAGCGGCTGGTCCCTAATTTGCTTAGGGGAAGAGCTATAGACTTAGGAAAAGTCACTTTTTTGATTTTTTTGCCTATTTTTTCGGAAATTATCGATTTCCTCAAAAACTACCCATCCAGATTTGGAATTAAGGGTTTAATCGATAGACCAGGTTGTAGGAAACTCCCCCGCACAAGCGGCTGGTCCTTAACTTGCCTAGGGGAAGAGCTATAGACTTAGGAATAGTCACTGTTTTGGCCTTTTTTCAAATCTTTCCGATTTCCTCAAAAACTACCCGTCCAGATTTGGGATTAAGGGTTTAATCGATAGACCAGGTTGTAGGAACCCCCCCTACACAAACGGCTCGTCCCTAATTTGTCTAGGGGAAGAGCTATACACTTAGGAATAGTCAATTTTTCGGTTTTTAGGCCATTTTTTCAAACTTTTTCGATTTCTTCAAAAACTACCCATCCAGATTTGGGATTAAGGGTTTAATCGATAGACCAGGTTGTAGGAAACTCCCCTGCCCAAGCGGCTAGTCCTTATTTTGTCTCGGGGAAGAGCTGTACACTTAGGAAAAGTTTTTTTAAAAGTTTGTTGGCATTGGAACAAAGATTCAATATACTTATTGTGTGTATTTTTTAGACTATGGAATCCGCTATGCTTACGTTTTCTCGCTTTTGCTTGGTGCTATTGGCTTTGTGTTGAGTTTTTTTGTATGGTTCGAAGAAGTCCAACGAGAAGTTGCACGAGTTACGCTAGTTCTCTTTAATCAGGTCGGTTTGTTCCAGAACGTTTTTGTGATGTCAGTTATAGTCAACATATTATAGTCATATTTGCAATGCTTGGACACAATTTAATTAATTCGAAAATTAAAGAGTCGTTAGAAAAATGAAAAATACTTTATTTCATTAATGTTAGCTGGTTTGTGAAACACACATTTCACTTAATTCTAGTGAATAATTATTCACATTGTTGAAGCATTGTGCATATGATTTTATTTTAAATATATTTAGCATGTAAACATGATTGATACGGTTTGCCTTGTCGCACTTGTTGCCTTGTCGCACCAAAGCGTTACCAATGAATGCATAAGCTTCTCTTTCACTTTTTTTGCGTAGGAAGGGCGCTATCGACTTGAGAAACCTGAAATTTTAAAACAATTTTAAAATAATCAATATTAAAATAATCAAACAGGTCTCTCCAGCTTTCAGCTGGGCCCCTAGTTTCGACTATCAATTGAGTTTCTTTTATGTGTTAATTCAAAATATTGACTGAATGTAGACGCTTCGAGGAACCAGACTCCGGCGGCAGCGGGGACTGGCAAGGCAGCAGACCAGACAGCGGATGAGGGCATGGGGGAGGATGAGGGTGAGGAGGACTGGGAACCACAGCCGCAGCAGAGCATCTACATGATCACAGCACAGTTCCTGCTCGACATCAACGCACTCAAGGTATCCGGTCTTAGTTTGAATAACGCCCATAGTTGTTGAGTGATGCGTTGTTAAGTTTGTTTCGGGTGGTATAAATAAAAGGATTCAAGGTATCCATCTGATAGAAATGAACAATAGTGTCTCTCACTCGAGTTTTAAAATCCTCCATAGACCCCACTCCCTACCTGCAGCTGATTGTAAATTGTCAAAAATATTCGAAACACTTGTTATTCATTGTTTAAAACGTTTCGTCGCTATCAAATGTCACGTGTAGCTCTTACACAAAAAAAGACACCATATAGAAGAAAAGTGGAAATAAGTAAACTTTCAATTCACCAATTTCCAACCGAAGAAGCACTTTTCAAAACGAACGCACGATAACATCAATTCGGGACTCGGTTGTCTGAAGAAGTGTTTGTGTTTCAGTTGGCGGATCGTGCTCTTAGCCATGAGCTGACCAGTGGTACTCATGGAGGGGGAGGGGCATCGCTCCAGTATCATCTGAGTCTAGCCAGACTCAACCTCCAGATGGGCAATTTGAGACAGGCTGAGAAGTCGGCCAGACAAGCCATATCCATTGACTTCAAGGTCAGATAGCCATACAACTCCAGATTCTGACGTTCGATCTGAAACCTGATTTGTTTCTTAACTACTTTTCTGCTCTATTTATACGAACATTCTCTATTGATGGATATATTTGAAGACTATAAATTGCATGCCCATAAATTACTCTCGATTAATTATCCCAATCAAGTGTATAATTTGCCTCGTTACTATCAAGATAAGTCAAAATCGCCCACACGGACTGAATGAAATAATTGAAATAAAATTTCAAAAACTGAAAGAAATAAAATGTATGAAATAGTGAATGAATTGTATTGATGTTGTTTGTGTAGAGTGGCGAGGCGTGGTCCTTGGACGGTCACGTGCACTTTGTGCGAGGAGAGAGTGAGGAGGCGAGAGTGTCTTACGAGAGAGTGCTCTCCTTCTCCCCTCCCTCCCCCCACATGCACTCCATATACCTCCGACTGGCATCCATCTACCTCAAGGAGGGCAGGGTCGGTACAGTATTCTTTACTATTATTGCTCATGTTAGGGGGTTCTCATGACAGAAGCATCAAATGTCCGAATTTTATGCCCACCAATCAGAGTTGAGTATTCGAGAATTAAAAAGAAATCAGCGTTAAATTGAGTCAGTTTAAAGAGAATTGATAGTTTGAGATTTCTTGCCCACTCTTTTCTGTCGTGAGAAAAGCCCATCATCATTTCACATTTCATCAGCAACTGTTTTCAGAAGTTAAGGAAAGGAGCGCGAATTATAATTAAATTCCTCAAAGCGTATCAACTATAGCACAACCCGTAGAATACTTCTGTGATACATTAAGTGCGATTGAGCCACTAGCTGAGCGACTATCACAGATAGTTCCTATTACTTTCATTTTCGAATAATAATAACTAAAGAGATACACGCATACTTAAGCTGAAAAACCTTAAATTTCAGAATTTTTTTGAATCATTAAACGAAGTGAAGATACTGATTTAGGTCCTGAGTTTTTGAACGTAGTGAATAATGAACGTAGTGAAGACCCTTAAATAGGCCTTGGTGATTTTTTTTTCAGGAAAAAGTCTCTAATAACTACAGATGTGCATTCATATCATATATATTGATTCATTTATGAATGCACTTAGGTATATATGCACTTTTTGAGTTCAATTGAAATTCATCTGCTGAAAGTGACGTAAACTAGCACTCTCCAAATACGAAATGGCGCGAAAAAACGTGAACTATTTCTAGTTTCGAAAGTGGAATTTAATTTTTAGATTTCCAGCAGAATGAAAACTTTACCTGTTGATTTAGTTTTCTCAAGTTGGGTTAATGTTATCAAAAAAGTGCTAATCATAAATTGTTCTAGTAATTCAAAGATTTTTTCAACAAAGTCATTGTTTTTTGTTTCTTTGCGTTCATTACTCTTTTCCAATTGTCAGTTGGCTATGTTTTAATAAATTTTTGCATTAGTGAGGAGGTGGCTGATACTTACATGATTTCTCTAACCCTTAATTGATCTCAAAGAATTTATCCCATAAGGTTAATAAATTTTTGGTGAGCCCATATAAAGGTACTTGGCTGTTGTAGTCCAAATTCCTAAACTCTTGTTTTGTGCTTTGGAAGCTCGTTGTAATTGAGTGCTGTTTTCTCGAAGTTGCGGTTATAAATTTGTTAAAAAGGATTGAAGACAACTTGCCTCAGTATAAACATAGATTACTGTTACAGTTTGAGGACGCCAAGTGTACTTACCTGCTGGCCTGTCGGGACTCGCCCTCTTGCACTGCGTGGCATGGAGTGGGCGTGGCCTGCTACAGACTGGGTACTCTTCCAGAGGCTGAGGACGCTCTATGTGAGGCTAATATCTTGAATAACAGAGACCCAGAAGTGTGGGCTTATTTGACTCTGGTCTGTCTGCAAACTGGAAGGAGCTTCGAAGCGGAACAGTCGTACAAATACGCACTTAAGGTTTTCCATTGAGACAAATTTTGTCTATGATTCGAGAAAAATAGATTTATAATGCAAAGAAAGACTATTAAAGCAAAAACTACCGAGTCAAATACTGAGAAAACTATATCAAAGTAAGCATCTTAGATAGCCCAATAAAATTTTAGGAGGGTACAATCTCCAATTTGAAGTTGTAGTTTTTCGTTCAGTTTGTCCGGATAATTTAAATCAACAGAGAAAAAGACTGTTTAAACAAAAAAAGAACTAATTAAGCAAATCATATTTGTAAATATTGGTTATTTGCTTCTGTAATAATATAATATAATGCTCTTCTAGTTGCGAAGTTCTAGCATGAAATGAATTTAAAAATTATCATGATTGAAGTAAATTGTGTTAAAAATTTATGTCATCATTTAGAAGCCAAAATTGAATTTTTAGGTGGGATTGAACAACGACTCTTTGCTGAAAGAAATTCACGATCTTCAGAAACAAGTCGGATTCGGGGACCCATCCTTCTAGAAAGTTCTGTCCTTACCATCCTCGCAACACTTATGTTCTTTGAACTCGAATTAAAATCTATCTATCCTACAAAATAGATTTATTGTAAAAAACATATGTACAAAATGTAAACTGTATGTGTAAATATTGATGTAAATAAATCCCAAATTCTTGGATTTCGATCTAACTCAAATCTCTTCAAATCAATCATTCGTTTCAAAATCATAGATTAATTTTTTAAAAGGAAAAAGCATTCAGTCTTGCATAAGTTTTGTTTTCCGAAAATTTGAAAACTACTATTGGTAAATGTCATGAATAGATGATTTAGTTTTTACTGCACTTGAATGAAACAGCTAGTTGTGTTTGATCACAAGTTGTTGCTGATTTGGTTCACCCTGTTCATCAGTTCCATCATCCGCTCCGTAGCCTGGTTCACGTCTTCTTCGGTAGCAGCAGAGTTCAGTCGGTCCGACGAAGTCTAAAGCACAAATTCTTTATAATGCGCCACTACATTCTCTCATTGAAAACGTGCATAAAAAAACTCGAAATCTTGCAGATCAGTTTTTTCTGTGGAGAAGGTCCTGTCAGATACTCTTTAAAACAGCAAATGACAAGAGTTATAACTTGACTTTTAGTTTTAGGAGTTAACTTCAATTGTTAGGTTTTCGGAAAACGATAAAAGTGTGTTGGTATCCATCAGCATAAAGGTGGAAATATTTTTCAGTTGCCTTGACTTCATATTTATCGAACTGTCTGTTGGTTATGAAACGTAACTGGAAGCAAATGATATCAGTCAGCAGAAAAACTAAAAAATATAGAAACTTTTTGATAGCGATAGAATTTGAGCTAAAAATCAAAAATTCTGTTTAAAATGACTTCAATGAACATTGTGAAATTTTAAGGTCGTGATGATTTTGATTTTTTTTTCAGGAAGACGAAAAATTTTTCACGCTCGATTTGATTTAGTAGTTTGATTTTGATTTCTTTTTTTAGTTCAGTTCAATTTTTCTCTTGAAGAAACGCAAACTCTACTATCGAACAGCAAGAGTGTAAATCTTTCGAAAAACGTAATCGACCTTTAGTTTCGAAAGTGAAATTTAACTTTCAGATTGCCCAGAAGAACAAACATTTTACCTATTGATCCAGTGTTCTGAAACTTGTGTAATTTATTCAAAAATTCTCGTTTACTCATCTTGAAACAAAAAGAGCTTTAAAATCACGCATGGTTTTTGAAGTTCGAAAATTGAAAATTTGCCAAACAAAAGATTATTATTTTTCCTGTTTTCTTGCGTTTATTGAATTTTTATCAACTGTCTGCTGGCTATACTTGAAACAAAATTGACAAAACAATTTTCGAAGTAATTTAAAAAGACAGAAATTGAATGAGTTCAACTCGATAGCGCAGAATTGCTCAAATTAATTATGATATGTACCCTGGTGATATGCAAGGATATTCCAACCGGAAATTCAAATTTTTCCCCGTTAAAAACATTGTCTACTGATTTCGGACCAGGAAATTATTTGTTATGCCCTGACACGCTCAATTTATTGGAGAATCTAATTTACTTAAAAGTGTTTTCTCATGGTGACAAGTTCTATTTTTTAAAAATTCGAACTTAGTTACCAGTGGTTCTGCCCATGCAATTCTAAATTTTTTTTTCTGTTTTTGCTGAAAAGGTTATTTTTTGGCATGAATGGGTTTGGCTGTGGTAATACTATTTTAGTCGCCCAAACAGATAGTGGCGTTTTAAAGCGAGAAACTTGATAGTTGAAAAAAAGTTATCGGCTCAACCGGTGTCTAGATAAGTGTTGTCAGCTTAATTGGGGCCCGGCGAACTTTTCTGATAATTGCGCATGAAATTAGCAAGCATTATCAAGTTGGAAGATAGACTTTTTATGTAAATTTTTGTTCAAGAAAACCACTGAATCATTTGTGCCAATAAATAGCGCATCATTTGGCAACAGATACAATTTGGGCATGTTTTCTTTCAAAATGCCCACTTCACACGTGCAAGAGCAATTATCTCTAGTCGGGAGCTAGACTTTTCACGTTAACATTTTTTCGTACAAATTGCTTTTTTTAAAACTATAACTTCCAGGCTTCTCCTGACTTCGTCTAGACGTAATACTTCGGATTGGATTTTTTTCAGTACGAATGAAATTGAAATTTTGAACTAGTCGGATTTTCGTTTGTCTGCTTAAAAATTGTTGACCTTATTTCCAAAACTCGAAATTTTTTACAATTTTTTTTGCTATAAATTCAGTCTTACTGTTTTTTGTCAATTTACTACATAATCGCTCAAAATTTTCTTTGATAATACTCATGTTGTTTTTGTTTTCGGCTCAATGGGCGTCTACTCAATTTTTGCTAATCTGCTTTGCTTCCATGGTTGACTTTCAGTTCTTGTTGGCTGTAAACAAACTCGGAGTTTTAATAATTCCAAATGTTTGTATTTTTTTCGCTCAAAAGGCTTATTCATTTTAAATCTTTTGTTCATATCTTATTTTGGCTTAGCCTCAAACAGCGTCGTTTGACGAGCAATAAAATAGTTTAAATCATGATTCGAGAAAAATAGATTTATAATGCAAAGAAAGACTATTAAAGCAAAAACTACCGAGTCAAATACTGAGAAAACTATATCAAAGAAAGCCTCTTAGATAGCCCAATAAAAATTTAGGAGGGTACAATCTCCAATTTGAAGTTGTAGTTTTTCGTTCAGTTTGTCCAGATAATTTAAATCAACAGAGAAAAAGACTGTTTAAACAAAAAAAGAACTAATTAAGCAAATCATATTTGTAAATATTGGTTATTTGCTTCTGTAATAATATCATATAATGCTCTTCTAGTTGCGAAGTTCTAGCATGAAATGAATTTAAAAATTATCATGATTGAAGTAAATTGTGTTAAAAAAAATTGTCATTATTCAGAAGCCAAAATTAAATTTTTAGGTGGGATTGAACAACGACTCTTTGCTGAAAGAATTTCACGATCTTCAGAAACAAGTCGGATTCGGGGACCCATCCTTCTAGAAAGTTCTGTCCTTACCATCCTCGCAACACTTATGTTCTTTGAACTCGAATTAAAATCTATCTATCCTACAAAATAGATTTATTGTAAAAAACATATGTACAAAATGTAAACTGTATGTGTAAATATTGATGTAAATAAATCCCAAATTCTTGGATTTCGATCTAACTCAAATCTCTTCAAATCAATCATTTGTTTCAAAATCATAGATTAATTTTTTAAAAGGAAAAAGCATTCAGTCTTGCATAAGTTTTGTTTTCCGAAAATTAGAAAACTACAATTGGTAAATGTCATGAATAGATGATTTAGTTTTTTCTGCACTTGAATGAAACAGCTAGTTGTGTTTGATCACAAGTTGTTGCTGATTTGGTTCACCCTGTTCATCAGTTCCATCATCCGCTCCGTAGCCTGGTTCACGTCTTCTTCGGTAGCAGCAGAGTTCAGTCGGTCCGACGAAGTCTAAAGCACAAATTCTTTTTAATGGGCCACTACATTCTCTCATTGAAAACGTGCATAAAAAAACTCGAATTCTTGCAAATCAGTTTTTTCTGTGGAGAAGGTCCTGTCAGATACTCTTTAAAACACCAAATGGCAAGAGTTATAACTTGACTTTTAGTTTTAGGAGTTAACTTCAATTGTTAGGTTTTCGGAAAACGATAAGAGTGTGTTGGTATCCATCAGCATAAAGGTGGAAATATTTTTCAGTTGCCTTGACTTCATATTTATCGAACTGTCTGTTGGTTATGAAACGTAACTGGAAGCAAATGATATCAGTCAGCAGAAAAACTAAAAAATATAGAAACTTTTTGATAGCGATAGAATTTGAGCTAAAAATCAAAAATTCTGTTTAAAATGACTTCAATGAACATTGTGAAAACTTAAGGTCGTGATGATTTTGATTTTTTTTTCAGGAAGACGAAAAATTTTTCACGCTCGATTTGATTTAGTAGTTTGATTTTGATTTCTTTTTTTAGTTCAGTTCAATTTTTCTCTTGAAGAAACTCAAACTCTACTATCGAACAGCAAGAGTGTAAATCTTTCGAAAAACGTAATCGACCTTTAGTTTCGAAAGTGAAATTTAACTTTCAGATTGCCCAGAAGAACAATCATTTTACCTATTGATCCAGTGTTCTGAAACTTGTGTAATTTATTCAAAAATTCTCGTTTACACATCTTGAAACAAGAAGAGCTTTAAAATCACGCATGGTTTTTGAAGTTCGAAAATTGAAAATTTGCCAAACAAAAGATTATTATTTTTCCTGTTTTCTTGCGTTTATTGAATTTTTATCAACTGTCTGCTGGCTATACTTGAAACAAAATTGACAAAACAATTTTCGAAGTAATTTAAAAAGACAGAAATTGAATGAGTTCAACTCGATAGCGCAGAATTGCTCAAATTAATTATGATATGTACCCTGGTGATATGCAAGGATATTCCAACCGGAAATTCAAATTTTTCCCCGTTAAAAACATTGTCTACTGATTTCGGACCAGGAAATTATTTGTTATGCCCTGACACGCTCAATTTATTGGAGAATCTAATTTACTTAAAAGTGTTTTCTCATGGTGACAAGTTCTATTTTTTAAAAATTCGAACTTAGTTACCAGTGGTTCTGCCCATGCAATTCTAAATTTTTTTTTCTGTTTTTGCTGAAAAGGTTATTTTTTGGCATGAATGGGTTTGGCTGTGGTAATACTATTTTAGTCGCCCAAATAGATAGTGGCGTTTTAAAGCGAGAAACTTGATAGTTGAAAAAAAGTTATCGGCTCAACCGGTGTCTAGATAAGTGTTGTCAGCTTAATTGGGGCCCGGCGAACTTTTCTGATAATTGCGCATGAAATTAGCAAGCATTATCAAGTTGGAAGATAGACTTTTTATGTAAATTTTTGTTCAAGAAAACCACTGAATCATTTGTGCCAATAAATAGCGCATCATTTGGCAACAGATACAATTTGGGCATGTTTTCTTTCAAAATGCCCACTTCACACGTGCAAGAGCAATTATCTCTAGTCGGGAGCTAGACTTTTCACGTTAACATTTTTTCGTACAAATTGCTTTTTTTAAAACTATAACTTCCAGGCTTCTCCTGACTTCGTCTAGACGTAATACTTCGGATTGGATTTTTTTCAGTACGAATGAAATTGAAATTTTGAACTAGTCGGATTTTCGTTTGTCTGCTTAAAAATTGTTGACCTTATTTCCAATGCTCGAAATTTTTTACAATTTTTTTTGCTATAAATTCAGTCTTACTGTTTTTTTGTCAATTTACTACATAATCGCTCAAAATTTTCTTTGATAATACTCATGTTGTTTTTGTTTTCGGCTCAATGGGCGTCTACTCAATTTTCGCTAATCTGCTTTGCTTCCATGGTTGACTTTCAGTTCTTGTTGGCTGTAAACAAACTCGGAGTTTTAATAATTCCAATTGTTTGTATTTTTTTCGCTCAAAAGGCTTATTCATTTTAAATCTTTTGTTCATATCTTATTTTGGCTTAGCCTCAAACAGCGTCGTTTGACGAGCAATAAAATAGTTTAAATCATGATTCGAGAAAAATAGATTTATAATGCAAAGAAAGACTATTAAAGCAAAAACTACCGAGTCAAATACTGAGAAAACTATATCAAAGAAAGCCTCTTAGATAGCCCAATAAAAATTTAGGAGGGTACAATCTCCAATTTGAAGTTGTAGTTTTTCGTTCAGTTTGTCCAGATAATTTAAATCAACAGAGAAAAAAACTGTTTAAACAAAAAAAGAACTAATTAAGCAAATCATATTTGTAAATATTGGTTATTTGCTTCTGTAATAATATCATATAATGCTCTTCTAGTTGCGAAGTTCTAGCATGAAATGAATTTAAAAATTATCATGATTGAAGTAAATTGTGTTAAAAAAAATTGTCATTATTCAGAAGCCAAAATTAAATTTTTAGGTGGGATTGAACAACGACTCTTTGCTGAAAGAATTTCACGATCTTCAGAAACAAGTCGGATTCGGGGACCCATCCTTCTAGAAAGTTCTGTCCTTACCATCCTCGCAACACTTATGTTCTTTGAACTCGAATTAAAATCTATCTATCCTACAAAATAGATTTATTGTAAAAAACATATGTACAAAATGTAAACTGTATGTGTAAATATTGATGTAAATAAATCCCAAATTCTTGGATTTCGATCTAACTCAAATCTCTTCAAATCAATCATTTGTTTCAAAATCATAGATTAATTTTTTAAAAGGAAAAAGCATTCAGTCTTGCATAAGTTTTGTTTTCCGAAAATTAGAAAACTACAATTGGTAAATGTCATGAATAGATGATTTAGTTTTTTCTGCACTTGAATGAAACAGCTAGTTGTGTTTGATCACAAGTTGTTGCTGATTTGGTTCACCCTGTTCATCAGTTCCATCATCCGCTCCGTAGCCTGGTTCACGTCTTCTTCGGTAGCAGCAGAGTTCAGTCGGTCCGACGAAGTCTAAAGCACAAATTCTTTTTAATGGGCCACTACATTCTCTCATTGAAAACGTGCATAAAAAAACTCGAATTCTTGCAAATCAGTTTTTTCTGTGGAGAAGGTCCTGTCAGATACTCTTTAAAACAGCAAATGGCAAGAGTTATAACTTGACTTTTAGTTTTAGGAGTTAACTTCAATTGTTAGGTTTTCGGAAAACGATAAGAGTGTGTTGGTATCCATCAGCATAAAGGTGGAAATATTTTTCAGTTGCCTTGACTTCATATTTATCGAACTGTCTGTTGGTTATGAAACGTAACTGGAAGCAAATGATATCAGTCAGCAGAAAAACTAAAAAATATAGAAACTTTTTGATAGCGATAGAATTTGAGCTAAAAATTAAAAATTCTGTTTAAAATGACTTCAATGAACATTGTGAAAACTTAAGGTCGTGATGATTTTGATTTTTTTTTCAGGAAGACGAAAAATTTTTCACGCTCGATTTGATTTAGTAGTTTGATTTTGATTTCTTTTTTTAGTTCAGTTCAATTTTTCTCTTGAAGAAACTCAAACTCTACTATCGAACAGCAAGAGTGTAAATCTTTCGAAAAACGTAATCGACCTTTAGTTTCGAAAGTGAAATTTAACTTTCAGATTGCCCAGAAGAACAATCATTTTACCTATTGATCCAGTGTTCTGAAACTTGTGTAATTTATTCAAAAATTCTCGTTTACACATCTTGAAACAAAAAGAGCTTTAAAATCACGCATGGTTTTTGAAGTTCGAAAATTGAAAATTTGCCAAACAAAAGATTATTATTTTTCCTGTTTTCTTGCGTTTATTGAATTTTCATCAACTGTCTGCTGGCTATGCTTGAAACAAAATTGACAAAACAATTTTCGAAGTAATTTAAAAAGACTGAGAAATTGAATGAGTTCAACTCGATAGCGCAGAATTGCTCAAATTAATTATGATATGTACCCTGGTGATATGCAAGGATATTCCAACCGGAAATTCAAATTTTTCCCCGTTAAAAACATTGTCTACTGATTTCGGACCAGAAAATTATTTGTTATGCCCTGACACGCTCAATTTATTGGAGAATCTAATTTACTTAAAAGTGTTTTCTCATGGTGACAAGTTCTATTTTTTAAAAATTCGAACTTAGTTACCAGTGGTTCTGCCCATGCAATTCTAAATTTTTTTTTCTGTTTTTGCTGAAAAGGTTATTTTTTGGCATGAATGGGTTTGGCTGTGGTAATACTATTTTAGTCGCCCAAATAGATAGTGGCGTTTTAAAGCGAGAAACTTGATAGTTGAAAAAAGCTATCGGCTCAACCGGTGTCTAGATAAGTGTTGTCAGCTTAATTGGGGCCCGGCGAACTTTTCTGATAATTACGCATGAAATTAGCAAGCATTATCAAGTTGGTTATGTAAACTTTTGTTCAAGAAAACCACTGAATCATTTGTGCCAATAAATAGCGCATCATTTGGCAACAGATACAATTTGGGCATGTTTTCTTTCAAAATGCCCACTTCACACGTGCAAGAGCAATTATCTCTAGTCGGGAGCTAGACTTTTCACGTTAACATTTTTTCGTACAAATTGCTTTTTTTAAAACTATAACTTCCAGGCTTCTCCTGACTTCGTCTAGACGTAATACTTCGGATTGGATTTTTTTCAGTACGAATGAAATTGAAATTTTGAACTAGTCGGATTTTCGTTTGTCTGCTTAAAAATTGTTGACCTTATTTCCAAAGCTCGAAATTTTTTACAATTTTTTTTTTTGCTATAAATTCAGTCTTACTGTTTTTTTGTCAATTTACTACATAATCGCTCAAAATTTTCTTTGATAATACTCATGTTGTTTTTGTTTTCGGCTCAATGGGCATCTACTCAATTTTTGACGGATTTTTGACTGCTCGTTAAATAATAGTGAAAGCTTATTTAATGCTGGCGGTTGTGTTTCTCGGCTCTCTTTCCGATATTGGCTGTTTTCGTCTCATTTTCTAATAGCTACCTAGCAATGCTAAATTTGCGCTGTATCGCAAGTCATGCAAAGCTCTGCTTTGCTTCCATGGTTGACTTTCAGTTCTTGTTGGCTGTAAACAAACTCGGAGTTTTAATAATTCCAGATGTTTGTATTTTTTTCGCTCAAAAGGCTTATTCATTTTAAATCTTTTGTTCTTATCTTATTTTGGCTTAGCCCTAAACAGCGTCGTTTGACGAGCAATAAAATAGTTTAAATCATGTTTATTTGTTGTGAAGATATTTAAGTCGAGTTTTTCAAATTGTCTTAACGCTAAAAAATTTATGACGAAGCTTTTTTTCATCTCAACGGACGTCCTTCCATTTCTCCAGGCTTAGCTGCCAATTTATAAAAAAAATGTTTCAAAACCAATTCAACACTATAAATTAATGAGAAGGGTTTTGTTTTTTCTGGTTTTGTTTTTTCGAGTTTTGTTGAAATAATTTTCGGCTTATTGGTTTTGCCGCTTCGTTTCTGTGTATAAAAAATCAAACCGGTCCATTTTCTTTGTGGGAAACCGAATTGGTCAACTAAATGTCAGTTTGTTAAGAGCAAATAAACTATGCATTTTGTGAATTGCGAGCGGATTCCGCTCTCTTTGTTTTTTCGTTTTCTTTGATCGTTCCAACAAAATTTTATCAAGTTTAAAGACTTGTCTCTGCATTCCAGAGACCTACACACACCAAATTGTGCGCCAATCCAGTGCACAGTTTGGCCTCGTAATTTTCAATTTTTCATGTCACTAATCTTCAGTTCAACCAAAATAACTTACATCGTCGCTTCCTCTTGCAGCAACACCAGTTGTAGAAGCACTGGTCGAAGTGTGGAGGGGTATAGGCTGAGGGTAAGAGGGGGGCTTACTCCTTGCAACCACAGTGCTAGCCGAAGGACGAACAAACTGTGTTATAATCCCTCCTATCGAAGATCTATTGCCTTGATTGCTGAAGCCACCGCTACTCGTACCTGAAAGATGATTTGGAGTTCAAAGATGCAAGTCTAAGACTATAGTGGATTCGCTGGTATGAACATTATAGCCAAGATTAAATATGATTGCGCTTTCTTTGGAACTGAAAAGCGTCCAACGCCATATTTCATAACATATCGATGAGATTCAAACAAGGGAAAAATAAATTTGATTTATCAAAATAAATAGAGGAACGGAAACAAGTGTAGAAATGATGTATTCGTGAATTTGCAACCAAGGATTGGATTGAATTATTTGAAGTGCGATGACTTTTGATCCACAACCGTCTGTTATTGCTGCTTTTAGGAAAGGTAACATGAAATAGGAACCCCATTACCCAGAGAAATCTTTTTTTAGTCAAACTAATTACATCTTCTGAGACAAAAGAATTCTAGTAGTCGTTTTTTAATTTGCGAGTGCTCCGTTAACTGCTGTGATTCAATCATTTGCTTCGTGTGACCTCAACCTTGTACGAACTCACCCGAACCCCCTGTTGAATAATCTCCGGGACCGCTTTTGTTCATGCTCGCATGACGAGAAACACGGGCTACTTTGGGTGACATTTGACCCAAAAATCGCTCATTTGCCGGAGAAGTCTGACCGCTTAAACATCCTTCCATCGGGGAAGTTTGACCTCTAAATCTAACTTCGGAAGGTGACCTGTGATGACCGCAAAAATGAACATCAATTGGTGATATTTGACCTCCGAAACGAGTTTCAGCTGGAGAGATTTGAGCTCTAAATTGACCCTCGCTGGGTGAGGTCTGACCCCTGAGATGAGCAAATGAAGGGGTTATTTGACCCCTACTTTGACCTACAGGGGATAGCTGGTTATTAGTCGGGACCATAGCAGGCAGAGGTAATCCCAAGGCCATCGGGTGGGATATTTTGTGATGCACGGTATTAGTGGGACTTCTTCGATTTTGGGCCATGAGGCGCAAGACGTCAGCCATAGGAGAGCTGACAAAGTTTGCAACTGGCGATTCTCTGGTACTTGGACCAGTACCTCCGCTGGTGTCTACAATTGACTCAAATTAATTGGAAAGCAAAGCATTTAAAACAGTGTTTCAACGAGCAGTATTGTTTTTCAGGACTTCCTTCCAAGACATCTCGAAGGTTTCCTGTAGCGATAACCCGAGGGCCATATTCTTTCAGAATATAAAGTACTCATGAATATTATTGATACTCTTTAGATTTCAATACACTATACCTAAAATCATGTGGTGATTATTACAGTAAAAGCATTTGTTGTGAAAATAAAGCATCGTCTTTAAAAAATGAGTTTTAAACCACAATTGCTGAATTCAACGCACAGCTATGAAAACGGCATTCGGCTATAATCAATTTCGCGTATCCGTCTTGTGATGATTCCTCATTATGCGGTGTTCTTTTGGCCAAGGTCATTTTAGATGGCATATTTTAAATAAATTTAGACTAATCATCCATGATCGAAAGCACTATGAGAGAAGATAGGATAGGACGGAAGGGGGGGGGGGGTGTTGAGAGCTATGCAAACAAAGTTCGTCCTACCACATTGGTCCTTTTAATTACCAGATTTGTTTATAATAGTTCATTTGAGGTAGAACTTATTTTTTTCAAATAAATTTATTTAATAAAAATTATGTTTTTTTGCGGATTTGTCGGTTACATCCTAATTTCTGCCGGCTGATTTTTTTTTCCCCAAAAGCAATTGGTTTTCTCTAGTAGGTTTTTCAAGAAATTTCTTTCCAAAGCTTGCATTTTTTGATTTTTGATTTAAACAGCTTTAAATATCAGTGAATTTTTTTAGTTTGTAAATTCACTAACTCTGATTTGTTTTTTTTTTGGATTTTTTTCGGTTCGCCGGAGTTCGAATTATGTTATATTTGCTTAGTTAACTTATGATTGGTTGTTTCAAAAGCTCATTTTTGACGCTTCTTCTCTTCTGTCTGTTTCAGCGGAGATGGGTCGTAAAATCTTTGATTTTTACTCAAGCGAAGCGTAGTTTTATTTTAAGGTATCCACATTTTTTTCAAACTAAGTCGCAGATGAAGTTCTTCTTTATTTGATGGCATTTTCGCATTTCAAAATCTGGTCAACTGTTGCTCCACGACATTATAGTTTTGTATCTGGCTTATTTTAGCCTAATTCCTGTTTGATAAAAAAAACTTATGTTACAATTTCTGAGATTAGGTTTATATTTATTTTTTGAGACGTTTATGACAAGTTCTGCATTTTTTGCAAAAACTTAATTTTTCTCCAAATTAACCGATTTTCAAAAAATTTTTAACAGTAGAGAGACTGGCTACATTCTTGCGTGCTTAGATTTTTCGCTTGTCTCTTTTTTACCTCACAGGGCGTTCTACAATCTTCGAAATATTCAGTGGAGGGAAATTTTTCGACCAATTTTTGTTAGATTATTTCCAATTTCTCGGGAACTACCATGACAAAACTCAAAGTAAGGATTCAATTTTAAAAAGTGATACGTGGATCTCCCCTGCATAAGCTGCTACGCTCTTATTTCGGCAGTGTTTGGTCATTAAAATAATAGAATTTTTGGTCATAAAAAGTTCAAATTTTGACATTTTGACTTTTTGGAAATTTTTTCTGTTCTCAAAAACTCCCGATGAAACTTGAGGTGAAAAGTTTTATCGAAAAAAAATTGTGAATTTCCGTTTATATAACTGGTGTCGCCCTAACTTACATGATGAAGAAAGTAACCGCCTTGAATTTATAAAAATTTCAAATTGTGCTCGTTGACAGCTTGGAAAACTTTGGGCGATCCAAGATTTTCGTCCAAGTTGGCGCTGGTCATTGATTCTCAAGTTTTGTTAAGGCTGTTTATGAACAGCATCTAAATCAAAGAAATGAAATGTTTGTAGATGAAGCTCTCTCGATTTTTTCCAAGTAGTTTTTTCAGCTTGATTTTTCAAAAACAGATGAATTGGTTCTTTCTATTCACTATTTTGTAATGCAATGAATTAAATTGTATCGCAAATTTGCGAAGCTCTGCTTCGCCTCTGCGTTAAAATATGCCGATTTGTTTTACATGATGAATTCACAATTGGAAGGTGAAAAGCACGCAATCGGTCTGATAGGTGTTGCTAGTTCCGAGACTCAAACTTTTTATGAAAACACGTATTATCTTCAAAACACACTGAAAGAGAATTTTTGCAAAATGATGCAAAACTTGCAATAGAACGAATTCTGCCAATTCATTTTGTGGGACGAATTTTGCAGTAGGGTGAAAATTATGCCAGCTCCAACTAGGATGTTCAGCTGTGTATTAAGTCCTTGATTTAAGTTTGCAACAAATAGTTGTGACGTCACATCATCTGTTCAATGACATCTATCTGAAGTGGCATACCTGACACATTGCTGTTGGGACTGTAGAGAGCGGCTGGAACCCCCATCTGAGGGGGGTTCTCCTGGGAGGTCCTCTGGTGCATCATCTGCAGGTTCAAAGCGGTCGGCGACTGGATCGTAGGCACTTCGTGGAACCCTGTAAAATCTTATTTATTGTAAACACAAAGCATACGACATGACGTGCGGTAAATTACTGGGGTAAAAAAGCGGGGACTGAAAAAAAATAAAACCTAAAAATCATAATTTGGTGCGATTACTGAAAAGTTTATATAATAGTTTTTACTCTCTTATTATTCGAATGAACTATTTACTATTTTGCTGCAATATTCATAGTTTTATATAGTGTTTGGAAAAAAATTCTGCAAGGCAAGATATCTTAGATTTCGATACACGAAAAAGTGTAATGCGCTCGAAAATTATAACGTATCTAACTAAAACATTCTTCAAATAATATTGTAGGGTGAAGTTCAGATTATACTTATTTTTGACAAATGCAAAACAAAAAAATACAATTAAATGATTTTAAAGACAAAACTCAATCTGAGTTTCTGATATCACTTTTGTTTATTAATTACAATGTCATCAAGTTTAAATTGCTGTGTGAAACTGGCTAACCTTTAGGGTAATTTGCTGCACCTGCACTAATAGTCGCAGGCAGGGGCGAGTTCCCCCCTGCCTGGGCAGTCATGAACGCGCTTCGACCCAGTTGGGGGAAATTGCTACCGGAAGATAGAGGGTACGGGTGTTGTTGTTGGTGTTGCATGAGACTAGGAGGGGGGTTGAGTTTGTGACTGGAGAAGCCTTGGGGGGACATCTTCTGGGGGTCTGGCATCATGGGCTGATATTGGGTGACTCCATGGTAGCCGTTGGGTTGCGAGTAGGAAGGGGGTTGGTAGTATGTTATTCCTGAAGAGTTAAAATTTGGTTAAAAACTGGTTAAGAATTTGGTCAAAGTTAAGAAAAATCATTTTCACGTTAAAGAGCCGATTTTTTCAAATAAAATTTTCATATTTCATTTTCAAGTTATTGGCTGCAAAAAGAACCATGTAGTTAGTGCAGTAATGTCAAAACATAGACCGATATACAACAAATGTTGAGCAAGAGAACCCAAAAAAAATATTAAACTAGAAAAAATCAAAGTGGTAAGAAAACATATGCAACGTTCATTTACTATGGAACGTTCATTAAATATGGAGCGTTCAAAAACCAATGGAACATCCAGGTAGTAAAAAATTATGCAATAAAAGGTTATACCCTTGATGCAATAAAGGTTATGACTAAATCGTTTTTTTTGTCACGTTGAAAGATCTGTCTTTTTTGTCTTCTAAGGTCACTGACCGTTTTGACTTGTGACCGTGTCACTTGGCGGTGACTTGCGCAGTGCGTCCTGTTCTATTTGTTTCACCTCCAGTCCGATGTTGTGGGGGTTGTTCATCCCGGGCGGCACCCCCTGCTGCGAGTGGCCCACCCAGAGGTCAGGGGGGTTGGAGTTGTTGAAGGTCTGCAGGGTCTGCATGGTGGAGCTCGTCTCGGCAGTTGGTATGAATTGCATTGGATTCAGTCTGCAAAAAAAAAACGAAGTTGTTGGTAAAGTTTTGCCAAAACACACTCAAAGTTGTAATAATTATTTTTATGCTATTTTTAAGTTTTTAAGTTGCAGCAGAACGCAAAAAACGCCAAGATTTGCGGCACTTAAAACACTAAATACGCGTTATAAACCAATTATTTGTGAAATTCTTCTTTTTTTTAAATTTTTTTTTGTTTCAAAATTCTGATCTTTTATTCTGAGAGCTCTTCTGAAAGATTAGGAGTCCTCTATATCTTAATTGTGAATCATGTTTGACTTCCCTTATGTGCAAGAACAAAATCAAGTCCTAAGTTTGTTTTGTGGCTGCACGTTTATTAATTGCATTTTTTATTGTCGCCTTTTTTTTTAAGAAAAACTGGAATTTTTTCGAGATCATTTCCGACGTTTGTTTGCCGAAACGCTGAGCTAAAAGAACATCTGGGAACTTTGCCAAGCCTAATCGACTTTCAACGCTGTTCCCAAAACATCCCGGACTATCTTAGAAGTGTGGGGCTTCTCAACCCCCTGGATCTTTGAAGCAAGCCTTCAAGAAACCAACCTATGTTTGCTTGTTGTCTTTGAGAACACGTGACACACCACAAAAGCGAGGATAAGGCAAATCACAATGAGAGATGCTCCGATGACTGCTGCGACGATAATGTACACATGTTCACGTCTCAGCCCGATCTCCGATGAGTCACTTGGTCCGCCCCCGTTTGCATGATGTGAGTTGCCTCCACTTCCAGCGTAGGCTGAAAACGCAGTTCTTTATAATATGTTTTTTTCTTTCGGTGGTATGTAAACCAACCGAAGTATCAATCAGCCGATGTGTTAAACAGCCGAAGTATCAACCAGCCAATGTGTAAAACAGTTGAAGTATCAAACAGCCGATGTGTAAAACAGCCACAGCCGAAGTGTCGATCAGCAATTATATAACAGATACGAAAGTTATGCTAATTCATTCATGTTGTAAATGTTCGGCTATAGCTTATACACTCCGCGCATTTTCGTTTGGTTTAAACTTCGGCTGGTTTATTTACTCTCCTTTTTTCAATTAGAGGCTTTGCAAAATCAGAAAAATTTCAGAAACAGTTTATAGATTACTTCACACCATTAAGCTTAACAATCAAATTAGACTGAAATTCAGATAAACTTTCAAACCACCTTAACTGATCACAAGATCACAAATGTTTACATGAAAACAGTTTTCAGAGAATCCGCGTAACTTGGAAATCAGTCATGGTGCAACCCAATGCCAGTACTCACCAACATTTCTATTGATGACACCTGAAAGTAACTTGGTTCAAGAATACTTAACCTCAAAAATTATATTTCAGGGTTTGTTCTGTTGTAAACATATTCTGCAATGTTTGTTTTCAATTTCAAATCACAAATTTTTTCAACGTTTTTTTTGCACCAACCGCTCTCGTAGTGGGAACAAAACACTGCGTAAAGTGGATTTTTTCTCCATCTGATGTTGATTCCTTCAGAAAAACTCATGAAGTTTTAGTCACGTATCATATTAAAGCTCTTTCAGTCGTAAACTGGATTATAAAACGAATTTTTTCAAAAGTTTTCTCAGTATCATAAGAAGTGGATTATTTCTTTTCATTTCTACGTGAAATCTTTCCAGAAACTAGCTAATCATTATTGCGGGAACTAATTGATCAATAAAATTTCAGGGTTTAGTTGCGGCAAGTTTCTTTTTTGCGGTTCATTTGCTGCAGGCTCAATCACATAATATTAAAAAATGAAAATTAAAATTTGATTTTGTTTTTTGATTTTTATCTATTTATTTTTTGCAAATGATAGCTATGGTCGGTATGGTCAGAGCTATATGATCTACTTAAGCTAACCGTGCTAGCTTTCCCGTATGGTTTTACTCAACTAAAAAGCTCATTTTGTATCTAGTATCAATGCCACTTAAGCAGTAATTGTTTTGCTTTTTTTCTCTTCTACTAAGTTGAGAAACTAATAATACCAGTTTCAGTTGTTCATGCTAGTTAGCCATAATTTGACTACTTGTATCAAGACAAAACCCTGAATTTCATGAATAATCTTAAAACACAGTTGATTTCGTTCTTGGTGAGCCAAAATTTGTATAAATTTCTAAAAAAAAAAACTCAAATCGTTTAGAAAAAATGATACAATTGGCCTTGCATAACGCTTTTTTCAAACAAAAGGCATGCTTATACTTGGTTTGGAACATTTTTGAGCCGGATTTATATATTCAGCGTTGAAAATCTGGCATTTAAAGCACGGTTACGATATCCCGAATTGACATGCTAGGAAATAGTTTCCAAACTCATAATTTCACATTGGTTGATCACCGGTTAAATATTTTAGAACTCAAAAAAGCTCAAGGCATGATACGTTTGAAGAGCAAAAAGATAATTTGGTGCCGCGACAATTCGGATAGAGGCACTTCTGTCAAATTGAAAAAAGGACATTTCAGCAAAAAATCAAGACGATTCGACCGGAGACATTTCAGCCAATTTATTATCACAGCAATATTTTTACATATTATCGAATAATAACGGCATTGACAAGAAACGAACGATAGCTCCGGTGCGCTTAAGTTCGATACGAGAGCAATCAGCGTGTGACTCAGTGTTTGTCGCTAAACTAGATTGTTTCAGATGATTCTAACTGAAATTGGCTGAAACGTCTCAATTTTAATGTGGGTAGTGTACTTGAACGGAAAAGTCTCGAAGCAATTTTATCCAAGTTTTCCGTCTGGTTTTTTTGAACACGGAAAATTCTGTTACAAATTTGTAATCTAAAATACCGAAATTGGTCTTAAATACGTCGAGTTTAAACATTCCAAAAACTGTTGATATCAGAGCAAAGCTTTAAATGGGCTCAAAGCTTTTTAGAATGTCTGAGTTGTTCGACATTAGAAAATTTTGATGGATTTCAAAAAGTGGCAACTTTTTGGAAACCATTTTTTAGGACTCAATATTTTTACCAGTCATAATTGCGCCTTGCATTGTATTATTTGGGAACAAAAGTTGTTTCAATTTAATTTGCAAAAATATCTGCGCCAGATGATGAAAAAATTGTCTATGCGTCAAGTGAAAACTGACTGACTAAAACAAAGCATACCGAGCGTTAACTATTCTAAATTGGGAAAATTTAAACACCCATAGCATAACAAAGGGTGATCATAAGTAAATATTTTTTATTTGAACATTTTTTAGTTGAACTTAGCGTATTGATTGTTTTCAGGCATTTTTGCAACAGTTAGACTGTTAGTTAAAAGTCGAAACTGGTCTTAACAAAAAATAATACACAGCATTGAAGTTCCGTCGTTACTGTCTTCAATAAATGAAACAATAAATCATTTAAAGTTAGATAAAACTGTTGATTCGCAAAGAAAACAGTCTTTATAAACGTTGTTCAATATTTAAAAAATATCGAGTTTTGGACCTCGATTAAAAGCCTCGTTCAAAGACTACATGAAATTTTTTGGCTAAGTTTCTCGGATCTACTTAACAATTGACCCCTTTTAAGAAAAGGGGGCAATTGTTGAGTAGATTAAGTTGTCGTATTTGCGACCAATTAGATTGCATCAGAATTCGAAAAAAAAATAGAAGGCTCTAGTGCTAATTTACTGCTTTTATTTAAAGAAGTTTTTTTATTTATTGTTCCGACTTTCGATACGAAAGTAACGGAATATTTGTGCTCTGGGTGGGTTTTTTTTTTTCTTCAGACAAATTTCGACTTTTTAACTAGCCATTTTTGACGGAATTTTTTTATATCATTCAAAAGTTATTGTTTTCTTGAGCTTAAATTTGAAAAGATATTTTACCTGTGATCATTTTTCGTAAAGCTATGGGGGTTCAAAGATTGCTATTTTGGCCAATTTAAGACAACTAACGCGCGATATGTTTCGCGCTATTAACGCGTAAGCGGAGGTTTAATCCGTCTTAGAAATTGTTCCAAATTGGTTTAAGGAAGCTTATTTGTCATAATTGATTTGTTACAAGGAGCGAAATCAATTCTTTTGTACTTTATATGGCGTGTAGGGGGATGATTTTCATAAAATGCTTCAAGTTTTAGAAAAAAAATTTTATTTTGTTTTTTACATATAATTTTTTCATGTAATTACTGCTCCATAAACCGTAAAAGGCAGTCGGAACATTCAAGGCTTCACCCTGATACGAGCAGTCTTGTTTATTAAGTAGCTACCAAGTTATTTTTATTAAGTAGATATTAAGTAGATTACAGCATTTGTTTATTTATTAAGTGGATACCAAAGGGAGGGGGCAGTTGTTAAGTAGATCCAGTTTCTCGACTGGCGAGTGCCGCTTCTAATGTATTAGTGTGTTCATACCTCCTGTCTTCGTGGTCTTGATGTAGCTCCAGGGTCCAGTGCCCACAGCTGTCTTGGCCTGCACCTTGAAGTAGTAGATGGTACTCGGCTGCAGATCGGACACCTTGGTCTCCAACCACGGGCCCTCCACCGGCTCCATCGCCCAGTTCTTCTCTGCAAACGAGAACAGATCATAGCCAACAGATGGTCGAGAAACTCGAAAGGAACTCGAAAGAAAAACCAAAAATAAAGTTGATTGAAAGATTTTGAACTTTTTGAACCTTCGAACTTCGAATTTTTGAATTTCGAAAAAATATATATTTGAAATGTACAAAACTTACTTGATTACATTTTCCTGGCAAAAGTACTGATTATTCAGTTTTTGCCCACCAGACTATTTTTGCAAAATCAATTTAATTTCTACGCAGTCGTGTTTTCCGAACCTAACAAACTAAGCTTCGAACCCCTTGTCTGAAGCAACCCCTTGTCTGAAAATTTTTCATTGTTTGAATACTTTTTTCAACAAATTTTAAATTGTACTGTGTATTTGATTCTTTTTCAACAAACTTTAAATTGTACTATATATTTAGAAATATATATAAATTGTAAAATATATAAAATAAATATAAGCTTTATTTTAAAGCTTATAAATATATAAAATAAATATAAGCTTTAAAATATATAACTTGTACTATATATTTTAAAGAGTTGTGACTCACCGTCGAATCGTTGGCTGTATGATATGAGGTACCCTGTGATTTTCCCGTTTGGATTCAAGGGGGGCTTCCAGTTCAAAAGTGCTGTCAGAGCATTGTCTGCTTTTCTGCTGACCCGGAACTCTTCGGGTGGACCGCCGGGCACTGGAAACAGTCAAACATCATCATCACATCATCACATTGTCTTTTGTTCAACAAACAAAATGAATAAAAAGTGACCGCCGCAGTCGCGCCAACGTGTTGCGAGCTTGCCAACAGAGGGTAGGACTTAATACAAAATTTAGAGCGGCGACGCGCGCACAGCGCGCCCACTGGCGACCTTAAACCGGACTGTTTTGTATTGGACTGTTTTTTTCCTCCATTACATGATTTTTCGGACTATTTTGTATTGGACTGTTTTGTATATGCACCATTTTAATACCGCAATTTGTTCAAGTGTGTTTTTCAGTTCAGTTTTATTAAAAACTAAGATCATTTTTCAATTTTGTCATTTGTTGAGTATCAAGTTAAAAATTTAAAATGAAAAAGTATCGATAAACAGAAAAAAAATTGAAAAAGTTAAACAATATTAAGTGTTCTCAACGTAATAGATGATATCACATGTTGCTGTGTTTGTCAAATGTTTTTGTTTTTGTATCATATAAACTTTGAAAAAAGTTAGGCTCTTTTAGATATTTTAAAAGCCATTTTGTCACGATTATCTTGTCCTCCGTATATCACAGCCATTTCATTCAGTGTCGTATGCTCATTGCTTAAAAGTAAGTGGGCTTGTTTTTGTTACCCGAAGCGAAAACGTTATGTGACTTTAAACTTAAAAAATTTTCAACACGACATAAGACATTTTCATTCAAAGTCACAAAGAATCCTAACGTCTTCTCTTCGCGTAACAGAAGCAAAACAAAAGAATCTTATGTGGTGTTGAAAAGTTTTTAAAAATCACTGTTGATTTATATCAACTGTTATCTGGATTACCTACCATCTTCTTGAGTCTTTCCCGAGATCTGCAACCCCCAATCACTGCTCTTCTCACCCCTAACCGCCCGAACATCGAACAAGTACTCGGTATTCGGCTTCAGATTTGAAAAGTAGTAATACGTGTTGCTCGTGTTCACGACAATGATTCGCTCTCGTATGTTGTTGTCTTCTATGATTCGAGGCATGCATCTGATTTGGAACACTTGACCTCTGGAGTAGTTGGCGTCGAAGCGAACACTAACTGAGTCTTCGGTCAAGGGCAGTGTCTTCAAGTTCGTAGGAGTTACAAGTGGTAACTCTAATGGTTCTGAAACAGTTTTTTTGCCATCGTTTCCATTTTTTACCTATGGGGGTAATTAGATTGCAATAAATTGTCCGCAAGTTGATAAAAATTTTACAAAATTTTTGGTTAAAATTTTTTTTATCGTTACACAAACTTTCTTGAAAGCTCTTCGTTTGACCTCAAAAATGGTTAGTCGTGTTTAATTTTCAACTATCTGTGTCTTAATAAAAATGGTAATTTACCAATGTTTGAGCCCGAAATCTGAACTTGAAATTGAAATGAACGAAAAAAGATAGCATTCAGCTAGTGCGATTATCAATCCTTAATTTAACTAAATTAAGAATCTGGTCTCTTTTCCAATTTCCCAACCATTTTCCAAATGTTTATTACAGAACGAACATAAAATTGTTTAAAAACTGTTCATACGGCCATTTGCATGCGAAAAAACTTGCAAAAACTTGCAAAAAAAAACTTCTCTTTTGCTAACGCTGACACGATTTATTGCTATTAAGAACATTAAAAGTCATTTCAAATACGTTTTCTTAAATTAAAATTCAGAGATCAAAATAACTAGAAAAGAGCCAGAATCTGCTGTGGTTACTACTTACGTTTCACTCTGGTGTTGACGTTGATGTGGACTGCATTCGCATCTGACATCTTTGGACTGAAGTTCCACGCCAGCAGAGCACAGATGTATGTGGTGTCTGGTTCCAGGTCTGTGAAGGTGAAACTGAACTGTCTGCTGTCAACTACCTGGGCCATATCCCAAGGCAGTGTGTACAGTCTATTGCACTGCACTCTGTAATGTCGGATCTGAAACGGGTTCAGATAGGTTCAAATTTCTAGAATAAGTTCAAGTAGGTTCAAATTTCTAGAATAAGTTCAAGTAGGTTCAAATTTCTAGAATAAGTTCAAGTAGGTTCAAATTTCTAGAATAAGTTCAAGTAGGTTCAAATTTTTAGAATAGGTTCAGATAGTTTCAAATCTGGAATAGTTTTCCCGTACTAGGTACAAGTCCACGAATTAGAAACTGACTTTGAATGTCGTGGCGATAAAAAAATTTCAGGTGCAATTTTGTGGTCAAAAGTCGCGCCGAAATCTAGAGAACGGATCCTGGTAAAATCTTATCACGTTTGAAATCAGGTTCAGGCAACCACTTTCTAGATTTAATAACAACTTAAGGGTTCCTTTTAATTTTCTGGTCAAAAACTTTTGTCAGTTCTAAATTTTTTTAAATCCAATATTTTTGCCCGTTTTTTCATGGTGAACTACTCCCATTTTTCAGATTAATTTTTTGGTTTCACTGCCAAGTGAAATTCTTTAGATTTTGATAAGGAGCTTAAAAAATTTTGGCAAGTTTTCCAAGTAAAAACAAATTGTTGAATATAATACTGGAGCGCATGTATTTCAAGTGCCCCCTACCAGGGGCGGATATAGGGGAAGGGGGGAGGACACCCCCCTCCCTCAAGGATTTGACCCCCTGACTACCCAAAAGGTTCCCCCTGTGGTACTATTTCAAAACCCTAATTGTTGGCTGGCTGACCCTAAAATTTTTCTAATGGCGCTTTTTGATCAAAATTTGTCAAAAGTGTCTAAAAACGCGTTTTTTTCTTGTTTTTTTTTCCAAAAATTGTACCTTGGTGGAGTTGCTGTTCTTGGGGGGTCTCCACCTGAGTCCAATGCTGGTGTCAGTGATGACGTCGGTGAAGAACTCACACTTGCCAGGGATCGCGACTTCTAAAAAAACAAAGTAGAACAGTCACAGAACATTAAATTTGATGGTAAATGTTGGCAGTATCGACAATCATGAGCATCTTTATTGATCGTAAAAATTAAAATTGTAGGTTAATTAGATTTTTTGACATATTTTCCTCTTGTTTAAATTAGCAAAAAAACTTATTTTAGACTTCAAAATGGGCGCATTTTTTAATTAGTTTACATTCTTCATGTTCGTTGACCACAAAAATCATTGCGAAAATTTGGCATTAAAATGATAAAAGACCCGTTTTTGAAGAAATCGGACCGCCGCAATTTTTAGATTTAGTCTACTAGTATGTACATACGCACCTTCGTTATTTTTTTCTACTAAAACCAAAACGTTTTTGTCGTCCAAATATTCTCAATTTAAGGAGAGTGCGCGCAAAAAATGCCATTTTCAGTCAAAGTTTTCAGGAAAAACTGCCCGAGACTGATATTTTGTCCAATTTTTTTTAAACAAATAGTCAGTTACATTATTTCATTCAACCTTGAAAAAAGTTTTTTTATTGTTTGTTGAAAATATTCGTCGCTCTAAAGTACGCTCAACTGTTCTTAAAACTTAACACTCATTTTTATTTGAATTACGTACGATAGTTGGGAGCTCATTTCATCAGAGCTTCACTTAAATAAACAGACTAAAAAAACCCACATTATCAAATAAATTACTAACCAGGTAATTCATTTTCCATAGTCCTCCCTCTAATCCACGCAGAATAAGGTCCAGTTCCGTTCTTATTGATTGCAGCTACTGACACTTCATACTCGGTGTCATTCTTCAGGCTTCCCAGCACCAGCTCAGAAGTCTCCGATCTGTCCAGCTCGCCAGTATCCAGTGCCGATATGTACCTTAACAGTTCTCGGTCTTGCAGTCGGTACTTTTCCAGTTTCGATTCGGACTGGCTTCTCTCGCGGTATTTCACGTAGTAACCTAAATAAACCAAATTATTAAGAATAGTTTAATTATTTTATAAAAACTTTTATTTAGTTTTTTTGTTTATCGAATTTGGCTTCAAATCGCTTTTTAGCATCCAATTAATTTAAGATCAATGGGAAGAAAAACATAGTATTTTACTTTATTTTTGAGCGAAATTAATTTCATCTACAAAATTGGCTGTGAAGATCTGGGATACATTAAGGGTCAAAACATTTCTTGTCTCATCAAGTTTTAATTTTGATTCAGTTTTTCTGTTCAAACTTTGTTAAACGTCAATTTTATACTGAAAATATTGGTCTATTCCAACAAAACCGCTGGCCAAATAGCCAAAAAACAATTGGCCTACCGGTGAGTTGACCGTTCCAGTCCTGCAGCAGAGGCGGTTTCCACTGAATTATCAGTCGGCTAACTGAGTCTGCAAACACCTTCACTTCAGTCGGTTCTCCCGAGGGCGAGTCGGCTAGAGTCTGCTCTCTGATTGGCTCACAGTGAAATCCGAAGCCGTACTGATTTCTCGCTCGTACCATAAAGTTGTACCTAATAAGTATAAAAAAAACTTCAACTGATTAATCGCATCAAAGGTTTGACATTTGAAAAACTCAACGAAGAAAACTTAAATGCGAAGTTACTCAATTTGAAGCACCAGATTAGTACCAAAAACTTAAGGTAGTATAAAAAATTTCACCTCGAAAACTCCTGCAATCCGACTGCCGTGAAATGATTAGTCGTAACTACACTAGTTCGCGAGAATCCATTCGCTGTGTTCTCCTCTCTGTACAAAACTTCGTAATCCAAAACTCCAAATCTTTTATCTAATTCGTCCCAGACCAGTTCAATTTGACGCGACGAAACGCTGTCGGCTTTCAGATTCTGAACCCGGTCGGGTTTCAGGACTTCGGGAAGAGTCGGGGAGCTGAGTGGGGCTGAAAAAGCGCCGTAACCTCCAGATATATCCAGTGCGCGAACTTTAAATGAGTATGATGTTCGAGGCGTGAGGTCAGTTATGTTGACGGAAGTCTCACCCGGCCTCGTTTTCATCATCTTGAACCTAAAAGGTGAAAAACAACGAGTAAAATGTTTCCTCGCATAGAAAATTAATTTAGGTGGTCAGTTGCGTAGTTTTAGGATAAACAAGGGCAAAATTTTTAGGCATATACTAAAGCTGACACGTTCTGATGCAGTTTAAGAAATGAAAATTAATTTTAAATAGACTTTCATATTTTGAATTTCAGAAAAATCAAGGGGGGTTCTGGAAAAGAGCCTTTTTCTGAGTAGCCAACCTGTTAGTTTGTGCAGCCGGCCAGTATCGTATTTCGTATCCCTGGATATTTATAGGCCTCAAAGGAGTCGGCTGATTCAAAGTGGTGCCTGTACTGTCACTGTGGTAACCACCCATACCGCTCCCCCTCTCGACAACCGAGGGGGGTGTCCATCCTAGCTGGATGAATCTGCTGGATATTGTGAGAGCCAGAAGAGAGACTGGCGCTTGTAGATTATTCAGAAGACCAACTGAGTAAGCTAAAACGTCAAAAAAAAATGAAACAATTTTAGAAGATCGTCCAATCGTCCAATTTTTTAACTCGGTTTATTTTTACTGTGGCTCTATCACAATACGACTTGTGCTTTTAAAAAAAAATTTGCCGGCCAAATAAGTTTTTCCACTGTCTAGCAAAGCGCTAGAAAAACGGGCGAACGTTATTTTTGTCAGTCCGAAAAAATGAGATCTCAAAGTTTGTTTAAAAAAAAAATGCTGCTTCCTTTAATTTTCTATTTCCTAAATAAAGATACACAATTAAAGCAGCAATTATGTTCCGTTTTTTGGAGCAATTTGCCATTGAGTTTGCAAAATTTGCAAAAGACCACAAAATTTACTCTTTATTCAAATTTGCACTGTTTCTTGTCGTTTTCGAAAAAAAATAAATGAATTGACCGGGTTCTTTCAAAGAAATGTTACGTTGACTGAACCCGATCAGCATAATATTTTTTTTTGGAAAAAATAGATGAGAAAACGATAAGAAACAGTGCAAATTTGAAAAAAAAAACAGCTAAGATTTGTAGCTTTTCGCTCATTTTGCAAACTCTTTTGGCAAATTGCACCAAAATATTTAGCACTATTGTCTCAAAAACAGTTTTTACTTTCCTATTAAAGATTTGCTTGACTTTATTTTGTACAGATCACTCTATCTATGGACTACGGCCCCCCCTCTCGAGAAAAACCTAGATTCGTCAAAGATATAATCGATTTGCTTTTCTTAACAAAAAACATGAAAACCAATTTTTTCCTCCAAAATAATTTGTTTCCTATTCAATTTATAAAAGAGCCAAAAAATTGAGTTTTCGATTTTGGGAATGATGTGTATGAATTTATGAAGCTTGGGCGTTTTTTCATCGCACCCTGAATGTTCACCCGCTCACAATAATGTTCTCGGGTTAATTTTTAATTCTAACATAATTAAATAATCAAACAACCTAACAGGTCGTAATTTGTTCAACATTTTTTTTTAAATCCGGAAAAATTTTATCAGAATAAAAAGAAACATAAAACAAAATAGCGTTACAGACAAATTCATAGCGATGAGTCACTGTTTATTTTGATTGATTTTCAGTTAAAGCTGCAGTTAAATTTTTCTTTGCTTTCCCCTTAATCAGATTCTGATTGATACAAGTCTTTCAAATTTAGTTAGCAGTTAGGTCTTATGTTTTTTTTGTTCTGGAGTAACGAAAGTAACGGAATATTTGTGCTCGAGTTGTTTTTTTCTTCAGACAAATTTTGACTGTTTATTAAGCCATTTTTGGCGGAAGTTTTTGTATCATGCAAAAAGTATTGTTGCATTGAGCTTAAAGTTGGAATAAAATTTCACCTGTGATCATTTTTTGTAAAGTTATGGGGGTTTAAAGATTGCCATTTGGTCAATTTGGGACAATTAACGCGCGATATGTTTCGCGCTATTAACGCGTATGCGGAGATTTAATCCGTCTTATAAATCGTTTCAAATTGATTCAAGGAAACTTATGTGCCATAATTGATTTGTTAATGGCCAATTTGCAGTTTTGGCCAATTTGGGACAATTAACGCGCGATATTTTTTGCGCTATTAACGCACATGTGATGACTTAACCCGTCTTAGAAATCATTCCAAATTGGTTGAAGCACGCAGAAAACGGAAAGTTTGTGCTCGGTGTGGTTTTTTTATTCAGTCAATTTTCACCGATCGAAGTAATAGTTTCCAACAAAAAATTTTCAAACCCCAGTGAAGATATTGACTTCAAATAAAAAAAGATATTTTACCTCCAATTATTTTTTTTGTAAATTTCTGGGGGTTTGAAAATTGCCAAATTTGCCATGTTCTGGACTAAATTATGCGCGCTTCGAAGAGTTTATTCATAAAGCTCAGAGCGTAACGCGAATTATTTATGCGTGACGAATTATCCCGCACAAGAAAATTGTTCCAAACTGAATTGAGGCTAGCTTATCGGTCATATTATTTTCGTACGACTCAAAATTTTATACTTTGATATTGTCCAAAATGTATAGGTTTTCAATATTTTCGTTTCCCAAAAACTATTAGATATGAATTAAGGAACAGTCGGAACATTCAAGGCTTTGCCCTGATATGCGAGCAGTCTTGTTTGCTATCAGGAGAGAAATCTATCACTTTGATCGAAAAAAAAAAAACATTTTCATTTATTACATTTAATTTTTGGGTCTTATGCACTAAACGGCCCAAAGTCATTATTTCTACTTTTCTACAACTCTTGAGCTGAAATTATTGTGGATGAGTTTGATTGGCTAATTAGCCAATCAAATTCCAACGACATTACCCGCCATTTCAATTGAAATTTCAAGCAGACAAAATTATTAGCCGAAATGATAAAGAAAATTGAATTTTGTTTTGTCAAGTTATTTTACTGAATTTTGCTTGTCTGGGCAAGGTTTCACAAGTGACTCAAAATTAATTTGATAATTTGACTCGAAGTTCCACTTTTTCGGCAATTTCGGCTAATATTTTTATCTGCTAGAAAAAATGATCGGAATGCCTGGCCGTGAACTTGAATTTGATTGGCTCAAATTACCCAATCAAATTTGATCGCATAATTTCCAGCTTACGATGTAGAAAAATTGATTTTGGGCCGTTTAGTGCATAAGACCCAATTTTTTTTCAAGTTATTACTGCTCCATAGACCTTATGAGGCAGTCGGACATTCAGGGCTTTGCCTTGATACGAGCAATCTTGTTGTTGCGATTTTCCATACGAAAGTAACGGAATATTTGTGCTCGGGGTGGGTTTTTTTTCTTCAGACAAATTTCGACTTTTTAACTAGCCATTTTTGACGGAACTTTTTATATCATTCGAAAGGTATTGTTGTCATAAGCTCAATTTTGAAAAGATAGTTCACTTGTGATTATTTTTCGTAAAGTTATGGGGGTTTAAAGATTGCCAATTTGGCCAATTTGGGACAATTAACGCGCGATATATTTCGAGCTATTAACGCGTAAGCGGATATTTAATCCGTCTTAGAAATCGTTCTAAATTGGTTGAAAGAAGCTTATTTGTCATAATTGATTTGTTACAAGAAGCGAAATCTATATTTTTGTACTTTTTATGGCGTGTGGGGGGATGACTTTCATAAAAAATTTCAAATTTTAGAAATTTTTTTTCTTAATTTTGTTTTATTTCATTGAATTTTTTAGTGTTATTACTGCTCCATAAATCTTAAAAGGCAGTCGGAACATTCAGGATTTCGCCCCGATACGAGCAGTCTTGTTTTCTTTGACATTAAGTACACATTTCTCGACCTCTGCGATAGTGAATCATGATTTTCATCTAGAAAAGAAACTTGGAACTCTGTTCTTGAGTCAGCTGAGGAAAACTCTTCCATGTTTTGTAAACAGAACATATGAAAGTCTTTTGATTTAAAATGAAACGAAAACCACATTAATCTAAGAACTTCGAGTTAAAATCACGCTTCGTTCATAAATATGAACTCTTTTGAAGACGCATTTTATTAATAACGCATTTCGTACCGCGTTTCTTTAAACTTGTAGAATGGTCTAATTTTGACCAAGTTAGCCAGTTAATTAATTCTCAGAAGCGCGAGATTCCCCACAGGGTCCAAGTTGACGATTTATTACCGCCTTTTACCGCCTGGATGGTTGCAAGTTCCGCTTATAATCTTGTTATGGAACCTACTCGACTAGTTGTAAGTCTGCTCAAATTGTCTTTTTATCAGCATTGAATTTCTGATCACGTCTCCTTTTATAGAAAGAAACATGAAAAAATGGGGATATTTTGGCTACAATTCCACAGGACATGAAAAAAATCGATCAGATTTTCAATGAAACTTCAATCAGGTTTTATCATGAGGTGATTTAATTTTGAATCAAAGCCGCCCGCGAGGAACTTCCCACCAAGTACGTGACTCAACACTTAATCTAATTACCGAATATGTGTTTCAAGTCTGAACGTTTCAAGCGTATTTTTAACTAGAGTTTTGTCTTTAGGCTAACTGAACGTCGGAGAGAAATAGATGTATGTATAGTAACACCAACCTTGTTGACTGACGTGCAAGTGGCCGAAGGTAGACGCCCAGCCGAAGCCGTTGGTTGCCAGGCACTGGAAAATTCCTTGATCGGCAGCTTCGATTCCATAGATGCTCAATTCTGTTCCTTCCGAATTGGTCTAAACAATTTTTCATTTAATCAAATACATCAAATCAGACATTTATAGCTCCAATAGTCAATGGTTTTTGCAATTTTCAACAAAAATAAGTTAAGTTGCAAAATTTTATATAGTTTAAATTGAGGTTCTGGTGAATGAAAGAAGTCTTTGGGCTAGTTAGTTTTTAATGAGGAAGGGCGTAACTTTTCAAATCTAATATATTATAATCAAATTTAAAGCCGGACAAACAGAGCATATATAAACACATATTTATCACTCAAATATTCATATGAGTCATTTTTATTGATATGTTTAATTAATCACAAGAGGCGGACATCGGATGTTCCACTACAGATCCGCACAACAAAGAAAAAGCGACACAACAAAGAAACACAACAAAGAATGGCCAATAAAACTCTAATGTGTTGTCATGTTTCAAGTTTCAACTCTTTTTTGTACCATAACCCCCCCCCCCCCCCCGCACACACACACATGCGCACACATACACATACATATCTCATTGGAGCATCAATTTTATTGTGTAACAAGTGGTTTTACAAGGTTAAGTATGAAGAACAAATATGTTTGTCATGGCTTAATTATTCCATTCCGTCCGCATGCCTTTTTATGAAATAATGGTAATAATGTGTTCTCAAGGTTGGTTTGTTACAATGACAATTTATCATCACACAAGAGCGGTGGTGAAGTGGTGACGTCTCCGCTTCTCAATCGGAAGGTCGGATGTTCGAGGCCGATATGATCCTTGCTCGTTGCATGAGGATGAAGCAACATTACCCAGCCCAAAAAATAATCAAACAAATTGCATGTAGTTCTTAAGTTCTTTTCCCTCATGGATAAATGGTCTTAATTAAATCGTCTTAATCAAGTCAGTTGAACGGACGCTGACGACTTAACCGGCTGTTTGAAAGTGCCGAAAGAGAGCACTCCTTCTTTTTATCCTCGTTATCAATTGTCAAAGAACTTACTCAAACTAATTTTTGTTGTCAAAAGGAGAAATTATCGGAAAAAAATGAAAGTGAAACTTCAAAAAAGAAATTGTCAAAAAAGTTCTTAAGCAACCAAAATTTTTTAAGCGAACCTACTACCAGAGCAAACACCTCAGTCTATTAACTAATTATATATAATCATCGCGCTTCGATGTCTCAATATTGATAATCATTTCAGTATAGACGGATCACATTTTGGAAACGTGTTGAAAAGCTTTCTCACTCTAATTGATATCTTTTTTTTCTATTTCGTTGCTGCTAAGTGTACTTTATTTGATTCATTTTTGCTCCAGCTTTCATACGTAACGAAAGTAACGGAATATTTGTGCTCAGGGTGTTTTCTTTCTTGAGACAAGTTTCGACCATTTAATTAGCCATTTTTGACGAATTTTTTTAAAATATTATTAAAAGGTATTGTTGTCCTGAGATTTAAATTAACAATTTATTTCACCTGTGACCTTTTTTGTAAAGTTATGTGGGTTTAGAAGTGTGCCATTTTGGCCATAATGGGACAATAAACGCGCGATATAGTTCGTGCTATTAACGGAGATTTGTTCCGTCTTAGAAATAAATCCAAATTGGTTGAAGGAAGCTTATTTGCCATAAATGATCTGTTACTAGGAGCAAAATCTATCACTTGGTATTTTATATTGCCTGTGGTGATATGATTTTCACAAAAAACTCAATTTTTTTTTTAAATTTCGTTTCATTTTATAACATTTATTTTTTTTTCATGTTATTACACCTCCATAGACCTTAATAGACAGTCGGAACATTCAATTATTCGCCCTGATACGAGCAGTTTTGCTTAATTAGTGCACCCTAATCCATTTTTATAACGATCGCACAATGTGAATAAACACTTCACTTCAATAAATTTGCAGGGTGGGTAGGAAAAAGTGCCAACAATTCTTTGGGATTCTTAAAAACTCTGAAAACCATGGAGCGTTATAATTTTTCCTATTCATAAGATTCTGCGAAAGAAACAAGAATAACCGGTTGGTCTGCAAGCAGCACAAAATGCTTAGACTAAGGCCAATTAGTTAAGTAAAGTTTAATATGCAGAACTTTTTTTAAAAGTTGTCATCTTTCAATTTTTTTTGCCTTTTATTTTTTAATCACTTTTTCAGTTTTTCGTTCCATTTACTTTTTCAAATTTTTTGTCATTCATTGAGAATAGTAGAAACAATGAGGTATCAGGCATGTCACAATTTAGAAAAACCTTGTAGAATTCGCCGAGTGATATTGGTATAGAGTTGAAGAGCCATTTAATCTCTGACTTCGGCTGCGAGTTGATCGGACACCAAAATGAAGTTGTTTCATGAACTGAAATGTCTTTGATTTCGATGTCGTTTTTGCCCGTGTCCACTTGCGGGTTTTCTGAAAAAAAAAATCAAATTTATAAAATGAACAGTTTTTTGGCATCTAAATTTGTCAGATCAAGCTGAAAATTTTTGAATGGAGCCTTCGACATGAATATACGTGTTGAAATTACCAGAAAAAGGAGAATGTAAATTTTGACGCAAATGTTAAAATAAAATGATTGAAATCAGGGAACTGACCGACAACTTGTAGATTGACGTTGATGTGTACAAATCTTCCATCTCTCTGAATAATGCACTCGTACTGACCATTGTCTTGTGACGTCACATAAAAAATCTCGAGGTTGAACAAACCGAGAATGCCGTACTTTTCTGGGTACTGGAACCTAAATTGATGATAGTTCTGAGTCAAATGCAGGTATCTACAAGCCAAAACGTAAAGTGTATCTACAAGCCTAATTAAGATCTACTTGTAGTTTTTTGGTATCATTTTTTGGAACAATGCGCCCGGGTTGATCAAAAATGCTTGTCATACAACTCTCATAAATGGGAAATTTCTTGTCATACAATTCTATACAATTCCATACGTCCAGAAAATTATGAAATCTCTATAATAAACATTTTCCCATAAATGGAAATTGTATGACTAACATTTTTGCCATAAATGGAAATTGTATGACTAAAAATTTCTCATTTATGAGAATTGTTTGACAAACAATTTTCGGAAACTTTTTTTTCAAATGTGGCACAAATTACATTAAAGCACATCTAATAAACCAAGCAATCTCTGAACAGACAAGAAAACCTGAGAAAAAAAAAGTTTTTTTTAGAAGCTGCAACCTCAGTTTCTTAATGTTCTGCTTTGCTTCTCTTTACTTGAATTTGAACGGATTTGTTTTCGCATTTTGTTCTCATCCTTTGAAAAAAATGCTACCAATTCATTTGAAGTTTCCAAAAACTGGTTTGCAAAAAATTTCGAAAAAATTATCCCTTATGGCGAAAATGCTTGTCATACAATTTTTTTTCCCGTTACCAGCCTGTTCAATTGTTCTCAGAAAGCCGAAGAAAATGTTTTAGTTTTTTTTCTTTTGTTTTTCGAAAATGTATAAAAATTGTATGACAAGCCTTTTCTCTATACACTTGATGTATGGAATTGTATGATAACGGTTTTTGTTGTATGAAATTGTATGATAAGCATTTTCGGTGTATGGAGGTCAACCCGGGCGAACCATTATTGGCTCACCACAATAATCGAGCCTTTATACGAAAAGAAGTTTATGTTGCATGTAGAACCAGGGGCAGATCAAGGATTTTTTGAGGCGCTGGATTTGAAAAAAAAAATCGCGAAAACTTTGTCGACTATTTTAGGTTGACCAAATTGATTTTTCGAGCAAATCGAAAATTGTTTGGTTGTCTGATTTTCTGCGTCACTGACGATTTTTTTTAAAAAAGACAGACCAAAAATGTCGGCCACTTTTTGGAAGAAATGACTAAAAACTTGCCTTTTTTGTCTCGCTCGCTTTTCAAATATACTATACTTTGGCGCGCCACAATAACCGAGCCTTTATACGAAATAAAGTTTAAGTTGCATGTACAACCAGGGGCAGATCAAGGATTTTTTGAGGCGATTTTTTTTTAAAAGACAGACCAAAAATGTCGTCGGCCACTTTTTGGAAGAAATGACTAAAAACTTGCCTTTTTTGTCTCGCTCGCTTTTCAAATATACTATACTTTGGCGCGCCACAATAATCGAGCCTTTATACGAAAAGAAGTTTAAGTTGCATGTACAACCAGGGGCAGATCAAGGATTTTTTGAGGCGATTATTTTAAAAAAAAGACAGACCAAAAATGTCGTCGGCCACTTTTTGGAAGAAATTACTAAAAATTTGCCTTTTTTTGTCTCGCTCGCTTTTCAAATATACTATAATTTGGCGCGCCACAATAATCGAGCCTTTATACGAAAAGAAGTTTAAGTTGCATGTACAACCAGGGGCAGATCAAGGATTTTTTGAGGCGATTTTTTTAAAAAAAGACAGACCAAAAATGTCGTCGGCCACTTTTTGGAAGAAATTACTAAAAATTTGCCTTTTTTTGTCTCGCTCGCTTTTCAAATATACTATACTTTGGCGCGCGAGACGCCATAATAAAAAATTCTGGGTCGGTCGGCCAAACATGGAAGTCGGAAAATAGATCCAAAAAGTGACCTGGGATCGAATCAATGAGTGGTTCCATCAGGGGCGGATCTAGGATTTTCTCGATAGGGGGGGGGGGGGGAGGCGGACTTTAAAAAACATTTCGAAAATGTTGTCTTTTTTAGGTCGACCAAATTGATTATCTGAGCTCTCCCAAATCACTATGCAACCCCATTTTGGTTCATTATGGTTTTATGGATCTATGGATTGAAATAGGGTTTGAAACTCGGAAAGGACTTTGCTTGGCCATTCCAAATAAAATGTACGAATTGAATCACGCCTTCTATAAAATATATAACCGTGATAAAAAAGTGCGTTGTGATTTATTTTAACAATATATTATAAAAAAAATAGTGTTGCACCATCTAATAATGCGTCCAATAAAAATGCTTATGTATAGAGAATGAAGCTGTAGACGAGACAAAAACGTATATTATGCATAATAACCGGAATTGTAATCATATTTCTTTTTATATCGTTGCAAAGCCTGCAGTTTTCATTGAAAAAAAAATCGAAAAAAAATAGCTAAGAATTTTTTTTTACCAGTCTATAAGTTGTGTTCCCGTGTCTTCCTTCTTGTTCCAAGTGAGCACTTCTTCTGCCATGGATGATGAAGATTCCCCCCTCAGAGTGAGGGATGGGCCACACTCCAGCACTGCTCTCTCCCCCACTCCAACAAAAACTTCAGAGGATCTGTCATTCTCCATTGCTGAAAAAAAAATTCATAATTCTCCATTGCTGAAAAAAAAAATTCATATCTTAATGATACACAAAACTTTTTCTGAAAGAAAAAAGTTTTGTGTATCATTAAAAATCATGAAAAATAAGCTCAAGTATATAACACTTAAAATGAATTTTTGGATGGGTGTTTGAAAATTGCTATTTTTCACAATTTAGGATAATTAACGGACGATAGAGTGCATTCTTATAACACGCGTAAGCGGCTGATTAATGGGTTCACAATTAAATTGAGGTCAGCAATTTAGCCCGTATAAAACAATACGAGACGCTAAAAACCTTTTTTGTTTTTACTTAGCGTGTTTGTACGGGTGGGATGGGATAAAATGAAGAATGAAATAGAAAAAATGGCAAGGTGTTTTTTTTCAATTATCTCGTCAAATTATTCAACCAGAAATATTTTTAATTAGGCTTAAAGTGCATTTGCAACATTCAGGGCTTCACTTAATATACGAGCAGTATTGAACCAAACTGAATAATGGCGATTGAGTTGTGCGAAAAAAAAACGTTTAATAGATCAAAAAGAGATAGGTACACTTTAGGCTTAGCATTGCATGCATGTAAGTGTGGGACGCTCAGGAGCAAAAATGAAAAAAGACTTGTGAATATTTTAAAACTACTGCAAACACTGTAACATTACCCCAACATGCTATTTAAAGTTAAGAGTAAAAGAAGAATCGCTGTATCAGGGCGAAGACCTGAAAATTCCGACTGCCCTTTAATGTCTTTGTAGTAGTGTTTGCTGAAAAAAAAATTGATGCAAATAAAAAAATAAACAAAAAAATGAAAAAAAAATTTAAGAGTTTTTTTTGAACCTGTCCCTCCCACAGGCTATTTAAAGTAGAAAAGTATATACTTTGCTTGTAGCAAATTTTTGAATAGACCAATTAGCAAAACTCAACCTAATTCAGTTTGGTGCTTGCGTGTTAATAGCACCGCATATTATTGTCCCAAATTGACAATTTATAAATTTTTATAACTTTACGACAAACGATCACAAGTTAAACATTTTTATGAGCTCAGAATAACAACTTTTTTGTATGACATCAAAAAACGCCGTCAAAAACTGCTAGCTTAAAGTTAAAACTTGTCTGGAAAAAATCACTTTCTTCCAAAATTGGAACAATCAGAAAAATTCTAAAGGACTGGGTAAAATAATGCAAAAATCATCCGAACATGGCTTTGAATTATGAAGTCAAAATTTAATATATGTTAGTTTACTAATTCGAATAAATAGCATGCCTTAATTCAGTTTGAAATAATTTCTGAGCCGGGTTAAACTTCTCTTTACGCGTTATTAGCACAAAAAATATCGCGTTGTAATTACACCAAATGGGCCAAACTGGCTACTTTCAAACCCTCCTAACGTTGAAAAAGGAATGAAAGGTAAAATATCTTTTTTTAACTCTGAGCTCAATGCATCAACACTTTTCAGATATTGTAAAATTTTCGCGTCAAAAAAGCTTATGAAAAAGTTCAAAAATGTCTGGAGAAAAGACCCCAAGCCCAACTGTTCCTTCACTTTCTTTAAAACTTGGAACAAAAAAATGCAATTAAAGGTATCGAGAACAAGACTGCTTGTATCAGGGAGAAGACCTGAATGTTTGGACTGCCTTTTAAGGTGTATGGAGTAAAAAACTAAACGTTATAAAAAACCAAACTTTTTTTATATTTTGTGATTTTTTTGTGAAAGCGAAAGCCATCCTCCCACAAGCCAAATGAAGTACAAAGTGATAGATTTTACTCCTAGTAACAAATCAATTCTGACAAATAAGCTTCCTTCAATATATTTGGAATGATTTCTAAGACACATCAAATATCCGCTCACGTGCTATTAACGCGAGATGAATCGCGCGTTAATAGTCGCAAATTAGCCAAAATGGCGATCCTTTTAATTTATAACTTAATGGGAAGCGTTAATAAGAGAACTGGACTTTATTTGTCAGTTTCAAGCAAAAGCCTTGAAAAGGAAAAAAACGTTCGCAGCATGGACAGATGATCATGATGGCGTTTTCTCGTCAAGATACTGCAACTATGCTCTAGCGTTTTACTCTTAAGATCTTTTTGCTCCGACTTTTGTAACAAAAGTAACGGAATGTTTGTGCTCGGGGTAGGTTTTTTTCCTTCAGACAAATTTTGACTTTTCAACTAGCCACTTTTGACAATTTTTTAAATATCATTCAAAAGGTTTTGTTGTCTTGAGCTTAATTTTGAAAACATATTTCACCTGTGATCATTTTTCATAAAGTTATGGGGGTTTAAAGATTGCCATTTTAGCCAATTTGGGACAATTAACACGCGATATATTTCGTGTTATTACCACGTAAGCGGAGATTTAATCCGTCTCAGAAATCGATCCAAATTGATTGAAGGATATTTGCGATAATTGATTTGTTACTAGGAGCAAAATCTATCATTTCGTACTTCATAAGGTATCACACAAAAATTTCAAATTAAAAAAAATCTTATAATTTATTACATTTTTTTTTCATGTTATTTCTGCTCTATAGACCTTAAAAGGCAATCTGAATATTCAGGCCCTGCTCTGATATGAGCAGTCTTGTTTGATTTTGTTTTTGCCGTTCAGTTGGATCAAAAAGAATCTTCGGCAAAATTTGTTCACCTCAAAACTTCAGAGCTAGCTTGTTTGCAAAAAAAAAATTGTTACCAGCGAAGTAAAGTTATCTAGACTTTTTAAACAAGTTTGGTTTTTGCTAATTAAAAATTTAAAAACCAGCCTCAATTTCACTGTCTAATTACTAGAAAGGGGGGATAATCTCCTGATAAAATACTTTTTCTGGGAAATAAATGCGAAGGATCTCCAACAAATTTTCTTGGAAATTTCCTAAAATACGTCTATTTGCTTTATACCGCAAAGCAAATTCTTTCGCCCAAGTGTATTTTTCACGCTGATTTTCTAATCCCGCCTTGTACTTTCCGTCGATCTTTTGAAAATTTGTGGGTTCATTTCACTGAGCCAAAGCTTAACTTCTTGGACAGTTTAAACACGCAAACATGCTTTGATTTCTCACCCAGAAGCCGTTTCGATTGATCCCATTTTGACTTAACGGCTTCACGTCAAATTTGTTAGGTGTGGTAGTAGTTGGATTGCTTTATTGGACAGAAAACTTTTTTTTTCAATTGCTAATAATTTTGTGTTTTTCAACTTTCCCGATAACTTTCCTCTCCTATAAAAGACTACCGTTTCTTACCAAATTACATATTTTGTTTTTTAAATCTAAGTTAAGCTTTGCTTTATTTCCAGACCAGAAATTGATGATCTATATGTCATTTTTATTGTAAAAAAAACTTGAGGCTTTTGATTTTCAAAAAGGTTGAGATGTTTTGATATAAAGAGCTCGTTTTTTCGGCAAAATTGAAACCTCTCAGAATTAGCGTCATTTTTTTGGAATTAACGTCAAAATTGAAACTACAATTTAGCCGTTTCTGCCTTAAAAACGTTCCATTTTGTAACCGTCAACCAACTCATAAATTATAAATTGTTTGTTTGGTTTACTAACAGTAAAAATCCGACCGGCCCGGTGGACTGACAAATCTGAGGGCTAAATTGCCCGAAGTGTCTTTTCCATGTTGGTTTGTCACCTCACAGTGAAACTTCTGTGAATCCGGATCGAAATTGGTCTGAGAAATACCCCCGACTTCCAGGAGCCCTGAAGGCAGGCTTGTGAATATCCCTGGTGTTTTTGTTCCAGGTCCGTTTTCACTGCTTGCACCCGGAATTTCTTCGTTGTTTTTGAACCAGCTGTTAACGTGAACAAATTGTTTATTTTAGAGGCCAAGCGCAAGGAAAATTTGGAAGATAGTTTCATGGTAAGAATAGCAAAGGATATGAGAAATTGCCTCTGGCTTGCACAAACAAATTGCAGACAATGTTTTTGATCTTCAAAAATAAGCGTGAAAAACTTTCATTACCAAGATGCATAAAAAGCATAAAATCACAAACGATGCTAGGCTATTTATTTCATAAGCAAATTATTCACCTATAATCGAGCAAAATTTTGTTTAAGTGTAATATAAAGCCTACCCCGCAATGTCAAGAATGAATTAAGATCGATATCAGTATGTAGATTAAATTGAGATCAATTGTAGCATGAAAAAAGTATAAAGAATAGAACAAAAAAGATTGATTTGGATCCTTTTAAAATCAATTTAAACTGATCTTAAATTTTAGCTTAAAAAAAATTGATCCAAGTCGATTTTAAATCAGCTCAAATCCGTTTTTTCCAGTTATCAGTTGTTTTTGTTTTCAGGATAATTAAAACGGATTTAATTCAATTTTAAATCGATTTTTTTTTCTTATTTTCTGATTTCCTTAGTTTTGAATTTTTGTTGCATTTATTCATTGCCAATCTTTTTTTAACATCCATGGCGTCTGGCAGCACAATAAAAAAACAAAAAATTCTAAAATTTTCATTCCAGTTCGGAATTATTTAAAAGGTCATCTGAACTACATTGACAAATTTTTAGATTTTTGCTCAAACACTGGCTTTCATTGATTATTTTCTATGATTTCTTAGAATAGTTTTGAGCCTAAACTGTGATTTGTATAAACCATGTTATTGATTTTTTACATAGATTTTTGCCCAAAATCTTTTTTACAAGGATGATTTTTTACAATTTATTTATGTTTTTAGGCTCAAAGTTTGATTTATATCGACCATTTTCTTGATTTATTACACTGGTTTTCGCTTAAATCGATTTGACTAAAATTGATTTGCTCAGGGGTCTTTTAAAATAGATTTAAATAATTGTTGGCAAGGTTCGGGTGGATTTTAGTGAAAAAAAATCCACATAAATCGATTTAAATTGATTTTTTAGACACTTTGACAGATCCAAAAAGTGCAAAAAAGATCGATTAAAATCGATATAAAATCCATTTTGAATCCTTAAAACGTACATTGTTAATCGATCTGGATTGATTTAAAATTAATTCAAAATCAATTTGAATCAATCGAAAATAATTTTCGTCAGCGGGTTTATAGCACAATAGAATCGAATGGACCAAAAGTTTCAAATTAAACAACCAAAAACTTGAAAATGCTTCGAAATTGATAACACTATTTGCAATTTGAAAAAAAATCAACAGTAACCTTATTAAATATTTTAGAAAAAAATCTAAGACTTCCGAAGCGTTAAGGTTCCTGGATGAGTCCAGTCAAGAATTAAGAGATTGCTCTGGAATATTTAAGATACTAGTAGAAAACCCATATGCATGAAAACCCAAAAGATCTGAGACTTCCTAGCAGGGTTCCTGGATGAGTTCAGCCAGGAAGTGCAGGATTGCTCTGGAATCTTTAAATTCCTGAATTGAAATCCCAAGTTTTCTGTTCTCTAGGTAACTCGGGTAAAAGTATAAACTAACGTGACTTTGCCACGGGGTGATCCGAAGTTCCCAAGGCACTCGATGTAGAACAGAATATTCGGTTTGACATCGAGTGTACGAACTGGTTTGTTAAGGGAGGGCGCTGACCCCTTTACTAGTAGCATAGGGGGAGATGTGACAGAAGCACCGTCCAGTGCTAAGAAGCGACACGAGTAGTTGCCATATTCTGCGTCTAAACAGAAATTAAGTCAAGTTAACAAGTGTCGTCCCATAGCAGTTTAGGTTCGCAGATTTCAATTAAGGTTCTTCGGTACTTTTCAGTCAAGCAGATTGAAGTATTCTAATCGCAGCGCTAATCAGTTTTAATCCAAGTTGAATAGTAAGATGTCGGATCTTTTATTTTTTTTTGTGGAGTGTTTTTTTTGTCCCATGAATTTTAGTGTTATAAAAAAAAACGAGAACTTCCTTCCCATTTAATTTTAAAAAAAAAACTGATTCACATTTTAGTGATCTCATTGATTTAAATGATGATTTTGATTTGATTCTGGTTTGATTGAGGTTTGATTTGATTTGGTTTATTTGGTTGATTTCGAGAGCACCTGTGATTCTGGGAATGTGAAGTCTGGACGCAGTGGTCGCATACACCTGCGAGTTCTGAGAGATCTGGAGGCTGTTGAAGTACCAGAAGAGACTGTGGGTGAGTCTGTGTGTCTGGCCCCTGTAGAGAGAGAAGTCCAGAGGACAGGAGAGGGTGAAGGAGGAGCCAGGGGTGACCGAGTAAAAGGGCTTCACTGTCTGCACCAAGAAGGACAGGTCTTTCTCCATCGTCAGAGAACAAACGCCCACTGAAAAGAAAATCACATGGCTATTTTTTTGGAGAGTAAATAAACCAGCCTAAGTATAAACCAACCGAAAATGCGCGGAGTATACAAGCCAGCCGAAAAATTACAATATACGAATGAGTTTGCATGACTTTCGTAACTGTTACATAATTTTTGCATAACTATTATATAACACTTACGTAATTTTGGCTGGCTTATACTTCGGCTGGTTTATATACCACCTTTCTTTTTTATGTTTTCATAATTACATAATCCTTTTTGAAATTAGAATTTTTTTTATGTTTCATAACTTTTTCAGTTATTACGACAGAGAGTTCGTGGCCACTAAAAAAGAACTGCTTTATGTCAAAATTTTGAAAATCAGTGAACTAAAAAAAATAAAAAACTGCTATCAAGCATCCGCTTTTTTTCGAGTGGTGTTATCATGCAAATTTTTCTCAAAAAATCTTTAAAAAATAATTGTGCCTAATGACTTATGCGATTGAAAACCTTCAATTTTGCCTTCAGTTTTGAAAAATCTTCAGTGTTGAGATTTTAAGTCAAGCTTAGGCTATTTCAATTCAACTTGGAGGATAACTTTAGTTCATTCCTGCTATGCCGAAAACACTTACACATTTAAAATTTTTTAAATGCCTGATAGTGCTACTTACCCGTCATGAATAGTTTGAATAAAATTAAAACAAAACTTAAGAAAAGTCTCAACGTTTTTTAAAAAAAATCATTTTTCGTCGCAATTTTTAAATTCTTAGAAACCTATTCTAGATTTAAGAGATACACAAATAGCGAGAAAACTTTAAAACGGTTCAAATTTGTTTTTTTTTTCTAGTTGAATATGATTTATTTTTCAAAATTTATGAAGATGAAAAAAGTCGCGATTGGCCAAAGCTGTTTGATGCAATAAGCTGTTCTCAAAGTTATTGCTTAAAGTTACAAGGTTTGAATTTCAAAACCCACTGAAGAAATATCAAAAAGCCCTAGGATGCCCTAGGATGCCAAAGCCCTAGATTTTTTGATTTTGATTTCAAATACTATGGTCGGAACATTCTGTGCTGCTTGCACAGTAACAGGCTATCCTTGTACTTTTTCTTGCAACTATAACGAAATTTTTTGTTTTCTAAAACGCTTGAAATTCATAAATTCATACTAGTAAATGCATACTAGTTTCAAGGGGGGGGGGGGGCGTCGGAAAAAACGCGCTTGATGGTCAAAATTTCCCAAACTGCTGCACAAAAGCGCGTTTTTGGCCTGTCTTTTTTTCCAAATACGGTGCAGAAAAATTGGTCAAAATAGAGCAAAAGAATCCTAGAGCAACCCCTGGGAATATGAGTAAACTTTCCGATGATCAGACAAATCTACCTTCAAATTAACCAAACTTTGAGGATAATTTTTTCCCTTGAGATGAATACACGATCCGCAGCACATTGAAGGCTAACAAATATTTAAGGTTTTTGCTCCGAATATTTTATTAAGTGGGAAGGAGCTATGACAAAAGATCTGAGTTTCCTGCCAATTTTAGAAACCTCAAGGGAAAAGCTAGGAGGTCAATTGTGGTATGCTATCAGATTCTTTTTGGCCGTGATTTGATTCCTACATCCCAAAAAAAATTCTCGAATCGATTGCATTTTTTAGTTTTTCAGGCTAATTTTCAGACTGGAAAATTCAGATTGAATTTCCAATTTAATTATTTTGAAACAAAACTACCCTCTATTATTGCATAATAATCAATTCAGCTCCCTTTCAATAGCTAAAAACAGCGTTAGAGATAAAACTTTTTGAATTTCTTTGCAAAAACCTGTGGTCGACTTATTCAGTGCTACTCGCAGAGCAGCAGACCTTCTAGTTTTCCGATTTTTCGAGAAGAGTTGAAAGTAACTATGGATTAGAGTCGGTCGCTTCCAACCAAATTTGACTTCGCGATAAAAAGTCCTAGTCATCAAAAGTAGATTTGTTTTAGAGCCGCAACGGTCGTAATTTGCCTATAAAAAGATTTTCAACATCTGAGTTTTTTCTCAATTTTAATTTTTTTTTGCACAACAACCCGCTTTCCTTATTTTTTATTTAGCTTCAGTCTGAAGATCAACTCAAAATCATATATAAATACTCTAACAAACTCTCCTTTTTTTGTTTTCGAAGTAGCGCCGAATTTGACTGTTAATCCAACATTGTCTAAAGCTGGAATAACCCTGCGACAATTTTGGTTCCATGATTAACGAAAAATCATAAGCAACAAAAAAATTTAATTTGTTATTGACTCAAACTGCTAAATAGAAAAGACAAAACTATTCGTAGACCAGGGCATTCAGGGCAGAACGTTCCGACGGCCCTTAATTGCTCTCAAATAGCTTTATGTGAGAAATGGAATCGGTAGAAATTATTACCAACAATCAGCTTGCCTCAATTCAATTTGATTTGGTTCATGGTGCGGAATAATTCAATCACTTGAAAAAATTGCGTAACGTTTTTAGCTGCCTAAAATTATTTTTGAAGTGCGCGCTATTTTGTCCAGAACATGATCAAATTGGCGCTTTTTAAACACTTCACAAAAAAATTGGATGTAGAACATTTTTCAAACTTTTAACTTGGGAGTCCACGATATCTTCAATAAGGTACAAAATATTTTGTTAGCAACTCTGATTTCCAACTACGATTGCCGACGTTAAACTGAAAAAAAACGGCTTTCTCTAACTGATTAAAAAATAAAGAATTCATCATTGATCCTGATGGAGACGAGAAGCCTCTGATCCGACTATGTCCAAAATTTTTTCTTTAAAACTGAAACAATTAGAATTTTTTTTTATAATGAACCGCTTAACTTGACCACTTTTTGAGCTTCTATCTTAGAAATTTTAAAAATGATATCACAACTCTAGTTTAGCGCATTGGTTGCATTAAGGCACTATTTTGATGATTTTGACTAAACAATTACGCATTATTGGTGATTCTTTCTCAAAACTAGTACATACAAGCGCGAAAGATTTAGTCAGCAAAAAAGGATGTCTGAAGATACTTGTACATGGTAATAGTTGTTAATGAACATTTCTGTATTATTGAGCAGTTTTGTTTTTAATATACTTTCTTTTGGCAGTGGAAATCGCGCTCGTTTGTTGCGAGAAGACCAGATAGCAAAAACCAGTAGCGTGCTTCAATTCTGGTAGCGAATTTTTTCCAAAGGTGATGCCTTTGGTATTACTTTAGGATAGCCATTTCTGGCCGACAAAGTCTTAAAATATTCTTAAATATTCGTCCCCCTCCCCTAAAACCGCTACTGAAAACAGCCTTACAGGTCCTTGTTGTTAAAATTTTGCAAAATTTGCCCCGAAAAAAACATCATCTTTTGAGAGAGCTCGGGAAATCAATTTGATCAATCTAAACAATAATAATCAAAATTTCTGAAATATTTTGAAAATCGAAGATAGACAAAACTTTTTTGAAATTTTTTGAAATTTTTTAAACTGAACTTTTTTGAAATTTTTTGAAAACCGACATGCCCCCTTGCTTGAAAAAACTCCTGCGCACTCCAGTGGCATTAACATAATGACTTACCATGTAGACATGAAAGTAGCTGTAGTAGTAGCACCGTAAGCACCAGTGAAAGTGGGGACGTCTTAGCCATAATTCACCGCCTCTCGGAAATCAACGAACCGAACAGAGATAAAATAGTGGGCCGTAATAACGGATATAACTAACAGGTTATAACTAACAGGCTGTCTTCAATATAACTGACTAGAAATTGTGAAAGGGAACTGTAAAAATATGCAAATATGCGATGTCTTAAAAAAATAGGCGCGGGTACGGAAAAAAAAGAAGAAATAGGTTAACTATAGTAAATGTAGCCTTGCTTTTCTTGTTCTTGTATTGTAGAAGTCGCAATGAGATTGGCTGCGGTTAGGAAAAAAAACAATAAAAATTCCATGTTTTTATGTCCTTACTTCGGTGCTTTTTCCAAATTTGTCCTCCACCTAGCGATAAATTGAAGCTGAAGGAATGAAATTGGTAAATTTGGACGTTAGATGTGCAAGCCTTTTGGCGTTAGAAGTTGTAAAAATCACCGCTCCTTTTTCACCACTGAACGGAATGAAATAAAACCAACTGGATGATGACTAATATAAATTCCTTTTGATGTCTGGATGAAAGCCAAATTTGCTTATCAGAAAAAAATTGAAAAATACAAGTATGGCAAAATAAAAGAAGCAAAGTGTAATTTCTTTTCCCACAACGGAATTGTAAATTGTGAGTGTTACTTATATGTCGAATTGAGCTGAGTAAAAATAGGTTAAATGAATTGAAAATAACAAAAGGGGGCGGGGATTAGGTAATTACGTTCTGGAGCAGAGGACCGCGATTTTTTTTTCACTTAATGGGATTTTCGTTGGGAATTATGACTGGCTCAGATTATAAATACTAATTATTGTGAAGGATTAATAAGAGTCAACGTTGATTACTTTTGCCAGAATGTCGACAGGAGTTTCCACAAATTGTGAATTGTTGAGATCTATTTGTCAAAGTAGGTTCCGTACGTGAAAAGATAGTCCAAACACAGGTGAGATTTGAAAGCCTCGGGGATTTGAAAATTGTGAAATTTGTTTAAGAGACTTTCAAGTGTTCCCAACACTTGATTAACTCTTATTGCGGCGTCAAAGCAGAATTTACACTGCGAGGTTACAACCAATAAAAAGTAAACCGATAAAATAAGAAGTTAAAGTAAATCGAACTTCAAGACAAAAGGTTTCCGTGGAATTGTGTCGTCGAGATATTTGGGCTACTTTATTGATTTCGTTGTTTGCCTTTGGTCCAATAAATCCTATATTTAAGGTGATCTAAAACAGCACATACAGAAGTTTAAGTGTACTAAGACCTCTCATTAATTCGCATTGCGGGGTATCGTTTCGATTGAAAGAGTGTACCAACAAACTACGTAAAGCTTCGATTTGACAAACCTACCATTCCATACATGTATGTTTCTTTGTTTTTATCACGACATGACTTAACCATGATTGTTGATAGATAAATAGGTAGATAGAGATAGGAAGCTTTATGTGCTAGGCAATTGTCTGAACAGCTTGTTTATGCTCTATAAACTTGATTATTGACAAACCCTCGGGCAAACTTTTTATTAATTAATTGACATTTCGACTTTTGAGGAGTCTGGAACTTTTGGAACTTGAAAATCAATTGCTCTTAAGAAGCTGAACAAGCTTGCCGTTCGGAGGAAATCTTAAATTAAAAAATGTTGATTTTAACTGAATTTCAAAAAAATGGCCCTATCAACGTTTTCATTTTATGTGTATTGTCTGGATAAAAAGTTAAATTAAATATCGACCATAACTTTCGTACAAGAATTCATCAACGCTTTTTTCAACTTGCTTATGTTTATGAATGAATGAATGAAGAAATGAAGTTATCATTATTTTGGTTTTTTGTCAATAATACTAAATTCTTGATTTTCATGAAAAACATTTTTGTGAACTCCATTTTTTTTCAAAATTTCCACCCCAAAGGCCGGGTCCCAAAATTCTCAAAGAAAAATTACGAAAAAAAATCAATGTAAAATTTACTCGAAATCCATTAAGTAAACTAATGCACAGGTCAATTTCTTCAACTAATCATTAACAAATATAATCTCCGTTTCAATTGCAGTCAAAACGTTTATCACAAGTTCATTGATCCTACTCAATCTTGAAACTTCCGCTAATCTCCCGCTGAAAACCAACAGTTTATTACAATCATTGCCAGCTCCGTGCCCTGAATACCCTGCATGTAAAGATTAGCACACAAGATTGAAACTGCAGCTGTTGCAATGCAAATGTAGAGTATAGATGCATATAAAACAATAGTATAAATGCATAAAACTGAACCAAAATGTAACAACAATAAGCGCAGTTGGCCGAGTGGCCTAAGCTACAATAACGCCCACTATATAGACTCTACAGTTGACGTAGGTTCGAGTCCCCCACCTGCCCATGTATTAATATACTAAAAAAGGGGGTTATATCCTATTTTAACTGTTTTGTTGATTCTAATTTGGTTCAACCTTGATTAAGGCTGACCGCTAAAAAAGAGCAATTTGTCTCAAGGACATTACCGACCGGTTCTTGTGGCTAGCTTGCGCCGATTTGTACCGAAACAAGTTGATGATTGAAGCAATACGATATTTATGCTCGATAGAGATTTTTGATGAGTTCTTGCCGAAAAATGCTCTCATTAATTTAAACTTCTTGAACCTTCAATTTTGTTGATTTACGGAGATTGAGCGCACATTTTGGCGCCCCACAAGGGACTTAATAAATATTGAATGAAGTTATATCCCGGTTACAAACTGAGGTGGTGAAGCTTTTGTTGAGTGGCATCCCGATTGAACAGCTGAGTGAGGAGAAAGTTGCTGCAGACTCTACTTCTCCTTCATCTGTCCGGCCTTTAGAGCACTTATTCCTACAGCCCGCGGCTTGATCAACTTAGGCGCTCTTGCTGATTTTTGAGACACCCAATGGATGGTACCCGAATTTTCTTGGTAGTCTGATGGACAGGAAGTTGGAGTAAACGAAGTATTATTTGCCACAACCTATCCTGAGTTCCTGGAACTGAGACCTTCATGCAGATATACTGAATTGAGGAAATGGAGGCCTACTAACAGGTGTCGTGTTCAGTCCTGCTCGTGACTGGTTTGTGACAACTCTCAACCGGTGCCGCTAATCACCTACTTCTACATTAACTGTGTCGTGTTCTGTCGTGATCGTGACTGGTTTGTGACAACCCTCAACCGGTGCCGTCCAATCTCCAATTAAAACTGTAAGAAGTTTCCAAAACGTTTAAAACTCCAATTGTGCTATAAATTTAAATACGATGTCATTTATGATAGAAATTTTCCCGCAAGCTAGCCCCCGGTAATTTTTCTCAATACCTAAAATTTTTGGACAGTTCCGTTGAACTGAAATATCATACAGTCGGTACATAGACAAACTGACTTGACATTTTTTCTCGATACCAAAATTTTTTTGGATATATGTGAACGGAATAATAATCAGTGAAATCGAAACATAGACAAGAGGTACTGGACTAGTTTTTTGGGTTGGTTTATGACTCGAACCTGCTGACCAAAATTTTCTGAAAAATTTTGTATAAAAAGTAAAAAAATTGCCAAAAAATCCTCAAAACGTCTCCAGAATTCTGCAAAACTGTGCTGTAAGATGACACCAACCTTATGTTAAGTGGTCTGGTAGCGAAATATCAGGCAAATTAAGTTGAGTTTTTTCATCCTCAGGTTTCTTCCGCGTGTGTTGTTGGAACTTAACCAATTTGCCTGATCCCCCACCCACCATTGGTGAAACTGAAAGCCAGTTCGCTTCGAGTAAAACAAAGCGGTTTCAGCCTGTCAGATTATTGACTTCGTTGCGTGACAGTAAAGTTAAGTGGTCAGGTACGGTGATATTAAGTGAGTTAAGTTGAATTCTTTCATCCTCAGGTTTACTCCGTGTGTGTTGTTGGAGTTCAACCGACCTACTTAATTTTCCAACCCCATTGGTACTTAAGCGTAACGAAGCCGTCGCATAGGTCCCCTAAGTGTATGGTATTCATTCTAGGAGCTAGTTCTTTGGATCACGCGCTCCGAAAACTTCCCGCTCCGTCCCAGAAGCGCGTCAAAGATACTTGCTTTACGAAGCCAGGTTTAAGTTTGAACTTTAACGCTAGGGACTCTCAGAAAACGATACAGTACTACCTTCATCACTACTTGTCGCACCGTAACGACCTTGTAATTTGGCACGACGCCATTAATAACTCGATAAGTAGGCACCGCAGCAACAATAACCGGAAGCTGAGTAGTGAGCAACTTGTCAATTTGTTATTAAGGTATAGGACAAACATTTGTGCGATCGTATACTGTAGACGGAACGGAACCGAGGATATAGAGGAAAGTTTAGGTTCAACAGGTATTCTCGTTCTCAACGTCGTTAAAGACTTTATCTCTAAGCGTAAGGCTAAGGACCAGGTACTAATTGAGAAGTACAAAGAGCTTCACCAGCCTCCTTCCCTTGAGTTAAAGACTCTCCTCCTTCTAAGGCGTTATAGCGCTAATCTTAACATCCTTAAGACACGTAAGAAGCGAAACCGCTTACCCCTCAAAGCTCGGAAAGCTATAAGAAATAGGATTCAGGTAGAAGCTTTGAGACGTCAGGTTCCCCCGTCTTGTAAGCTAATGTTGATTTACTAATGCAAATTTGATTACGTACCAAAACAGTATCTCATTTTATTGATTGTTTTCTATAAGTGAGCATCCGTAGAATATTGTCAATTTGTGAAAAACATGGACGAAAAATTCCAAAGTAAGATACGCAAGTTATTCGAAACCCGTCTAAATCTAGAAAATGAGCTGCTTAAAGGTCACTCATTATTACTTGAGTACATTGAGAATAATAGTCGCACTACAAAAATTGATAATGCTGTTTACAAATGTAAAATTGCGTTGGAAAAAGCTGTCGACGTCAATGAGCAATTAATTAGGTTAGCGGGAAAAACGGAAAATCCTGAAAAAATTATTGCTCAGCAAGACCTTTGGCTTAAGAAAGTAACCGAAATGAACGATAAAGTAATGCACGAAGCTCAGAGTTACAAGATGAGCCTTGAACCTTCGTCATTTCCAGCAGCCGGCATTACAGGGAGCAAGGGATCTTTACAACAAACTAGGTCTGAGACATCCTCACACTCGCACAAAACAAGTGATTCAGCAGCACGAGTATCTGAAAACAGGTCTAAGGTCTCTAATAAGTCTAAGGATAGTAGAAAGCTTGACTCACATAAGTCTGATAAATCTGCTTCCACTCGTCATACGTCGACTGTTCGCACTATGTCATCAAGTGAGAAACGGCATGAGTTAGCTTTAGTAAAACGACGCCATGAGGAGCTGGAAAGGCAGTATCAAGTATCTTTAAGACTTAAAGAGCAAGAGAACCGTCTTAAGTTCGAACAAAGTCAGCTGGAACTAGAGCAATTGGCTGAAAATCATAAAAAGCAACTAATTGAAATGGAATTGAAAGCGTTTGAACTTGAGGACAGTTCATCTGAGGTTAGCGAGAAGGTAGCGCAAAGTAACTTAACAGGAGTAAGTCAACCTATTTCAAAGGTAGCAACCGATCGAACTAATGATTGGGTAGACTCTGTTAGTTCACAAGCACCTCCCGACGTTGCTAGTGCGCCCGGTTTGCAGGCCTTCACTCATGTACCCATTTCGTCAGGACCGACGACTTCCGCCCTCCTTGCTCATGCAATTCACACCAGTAATAGTCATAACCATGAGCACACAGCATTGAGTGACCCTGGAATCCATAGTTATGGACATCGGGCTATGCCTCGATTTGGCAGTGCAAGCCTTTTGCCATTGCAAGCTTCTGTTTCATTCCCAGCCTCTGTTCCATTCCCAGTTAACAATATGCATTCTAGTGCACACGTGTTACCAACACCGTCGGCTGTTCCTTTACAGACCATGAGTTCAAACATAACTAATGGTAGTTTTGCCATCGCGCAACCGGAATCATTACCTGTCCCAATGTTACCGGCCCAACCCGGGTCTGGTTTTGTTTCTTTGTCGCCTGCATTTGTTGGTGGTGGCTTCTCATCTTCTGGAGTAAACCCAACGCCGGTTTTCTTTTCGGCACCTAATTGCCATGCAGCGCCAGTCCAGACGCAACATAATCTTCCCTTTGTTCCGCATACTGTGTCACCTAGTATCAACGATTACTACACAAGTGATGCAAACTTATGGCGATTGGCTGCTACAACTCCAATCGTCACGCCTGCTCAGTGTTGTAATGCTGGAAACATTTTT